GAAAATCAACATGGTTTGGGAAATGGTGTCCAGAATCCACATTCCGTGGCATCACAAACCAATAGATGGCTATAAGCCCACCTTTGGTCGCTTCAAGCCTTACTGTTCAGCCATCATCGGGGAATTTGAAACCCATAGTGAGCAATCAGGGTATCAAAAGCCCAAAATATCCTTCATCCCAAAGATGGAGTCGAAATGAGGCGCCATCAACGGCCACAGCCCGCAAAATTCATTGATATACGTGATGTTGCTGTGATGCCGCGCCACGGATCTGTTACAATGATGAGAAAAAACGACCCCAAGTTGCCGCAACTGCTTGTTTTATGTAAATCCCATTGGAATTGACCGGAAATGCATATGTAAACTATGCCCCATTTTAGGGGGGCCACTTTTTCTGGAGTGCCATGCAAATCACACCAGTACAGTAAGCAACCAATTTCCAAAAGGTCAAAGCTATTAGTTCGTTAACTGTTCAACAACTGACTGTGTATAGAAAGTAAAAAACTATACGAGCAATAAAGAAACAACTTTATAGAAATAACTTAAATGAGTGAAAAACTCCCAAATTGATCCAAATTGATCCAAATTGTTCAATGTTGTTTCCATATGTGCCATGATCAGCTTGTGCCATGATCATTGGGGATTCCAGATAATTGATGGGTATAGAAACACTATTAATTGGGCGATGACCATCCCCCCCTTTCTGGCAAAATAAACCATATTTTGACCATGGCAAAAAAATGTTTCCCACGAAAGCATGACCGACCAAATTGTCAATGATATCCCCTAGTTTTGATGGTTAAAAATCGTTGTTAAATCATCTTGTTGATGTGTGTTCCATCTTGGAATTTCACCTGCTTTAATCATTGTTTAAAATTGTGATTCCTCATGTTTGACAACTAACCAACTGGTTTGTTTGAAGCCAATCATCTGTTTCACATGGTCAAAATATATGAAAATCCTGTATTTTTTCACCTTGTTTACTCTGCAGAATCTTCATAATCCCATCCTACCGCTCATAGAAAAAGCAACCCCATTGTCTGATCGGTGTCATCCCCTACATCCTTTCGGTGGTGACTCCGAAATCGGGGGTCTTACTCTCAATCCTGGGCGATTCGGGATTAATCCCCATGTCTACCCATAATCCAACCATGGCAATACGGTCTACCCATGTCTACCCCTATTTGAGATGGAGATGATGCATTTTTTCCCCCAATGTTTGATTCATGGGATGGTTTATTATTGTGTTGTCATAGCAAATTATAACCAAATCTTCATATATCTTCATAACATATGTTCCAATTATATATAATATATATCTATATATCCAAATTATATATATATATCCTAATTATATTCCTATTGATATACATCTATAATCCTTCAGTATAAACCATAGGAATATCAATATCCCCTTCAGTATTAGTATCCCACTATTCTCCCACTAGACATCAGATAAATTTAAGCATATATCTATCATCCGATGATTATCCCACAAAATATTACAGTATAAATTCCATTAAATGGATAATGTTATCCTACTAATTCAATTAATTTATCCCTATTACTATCTAAATTATAGAATTATTATCTCAGTATCCCATTCCTATCACCATCCACCAGCCATTTTCGCCCAGCGACGTTCCAAGTGCGCCAGCAGGGCCGACAGCAGAGAGCCCACCAGCACCACCACGCGGCCGTGCAGCGCGGCGCGGAAGGTGCCAGCCAGGGCCAACTCCTCGAGGACCAGGACTTGGCTGGTTGAAGGGAGAAAAACCCATCAAAAACAGTGGTTGAATTGGGTTTAACTTAAGCATCAAAATTGTGATCTCATATCTATCTATCAATCTATCTATCAATCTATCTATCTACCTATCTATTCCTATCTATTCCTATCTAGTCCTATCTAGTCCTATCTATTCCTATCTAGTCCTATCTAGTCCAATCTATTCCTATCTATGCCTATCTATGCCTATCTAGTCCTATCTATCTATTCCTATCTATTCCTACCTATTCCTATTTATTCCTATCTATTCCTACCTATTCCTATCTAGTCCTATCTATTCCTATCTATCTATTCCTATCTATCTATTCCTATCTATCTATTCCTATCTATCTATTCCTATCTATCTATTCCTAACTATCTATTCCTAACTATCTATTCCTAACTATCTATTCCTATCTATTCCTATCTATTCCTATCTATTCCTATCTATTCCTATCTATTCCTATCTATTCCAATCTATTCCAATCTATGCCAATCTATTCCAATCTATTCCTATCTATTCCAATCTATTCCCATCTATGCCAATCTATTCCTATCTATTCCTATCTATTCCTATCTATTCCCATCTATTCCCATCTATTCCTATCTATTCCTATCTATTCCTATCTATTCCTATCTATTCCTATCTATTCCTATCTATCTTTATCTATCTATCTATCTATCTATCCCTATCTATCTATTTCTATCTATCTAATCCTATCTATCTAATCCTATCTATCTAATCCTATCTATCTATCTATCTATCTATCTATCTATAAATCATCTATATATATATATCTATATATAGATATAGTCCTATATTTTCCTATTTATTCCTACCTATTCTATTCTATGCCTATCTATGCCTTTCTATATCCATTTATATCTATCCATATCTATCTAGAACTATCTATACATACCTATCTATATCTATCTATATATGTCGATATTTATCTATATCCATCTATATTCATCTATATCTATCTGTATCTATCTATATTCGTCTATATCTATCTGTATCGATCTACAGTATATCAATCTGTATCCATCTATATCTATCTATCTATATCTATCTATCTATCTATCTCTATATCGATCTATCTATCTATCTATCTATCTATCCATCCCTATCTATCTATTCCTATCTATCTATCTCTATCTATCTATCTCTATCTATCTATCTATCTATCTATCTATCATCTAATATAGTCCTATAGTTTCCTATTTATTCCTACCTATTCCTTTCTATGCCTATCTATGCCTTTCTATATCCATTTATATCTATCCATATCTATCTAGAACTATCTATACATACCTATCTATATCTATCTATATATGTCGATATTTCTCTATATCCATCTATATTCATCTATATCTATCTGTATCTATCTATATTCGTCTATATCTATCTGTATCGATCTACAGTGTATCAATCTGTATCCATCTATACCTATCTATATCTATCTATATCTATCTATCTATCGATCGATCTATCGATCTATCTATCTATCTATATCTATATCTATATCTATATTTATATCTAGTCTATATCTACATTTACATCTACATCTACATCTATCTCTATCTATCTACCTTTCTACCTACCTATCTAATCTGCCTATCTAATCCTATGCAATACTATAATTACATATATTTAGATATGTAACCCGCCCTGTCGAATATCTCCCAAAATGTGATATCTACGAGTTGATGGCAGGGATTGGGATAGGCCGGTTGGAAGCAAGGCTCCGTTCTCGGTGACTGGGGCAGAAGCATCTCAAAAAGTTGTCCAAAATCATGTCAACTGTAAGAATACTTACTTTCAGAATTCGTTCACAGTATTTACCAAGGTCTTGCCTGCAAAACGTCCATGACATGATGCTTGCACAGGCTAACCCTGGGTATCCCGCAAAAAGAGTGAGAGGAATCTGACATTCCTCAACTGATAAAAAAGAACATCAACAATCAACCATTCACCCAAGGTTTACCCAGCTATGCGCCTTGCACCTAGGCTTTCCAACCAGATACCAATTTCTAAAAGCGCAGGAGAAGTCAACTTGGGTGAGTTGCTTCGGCATTGGGGTACGGCAGAATACATCCGTCTGCATTTCACTTCTGGCAGGGATTGTGGGTTGTACATGGGATCAATGAATTTTGGGATTGGATTCTGAAATGAATGATGTAATTAGGACTGACTCCGCGAGACATAAACAAAAAATGACTGCAACAGAATTCATCGAAGGTTAAATCACCAAGTGAAACACCACAAAAACTGGTGAAGAGCCCACAGACCCAAGAAGAACTGCCACCTTACTTGGCCAACGGTCCTGAGCCGCAGATGCAATGGCTGCGAACCAGTGCCTGACAAACCAGTCCCATGGGTAAACACCAAAAAGGGCTGGCCTGGCGGTAAAATATGTTTATACTTATAACAATCTAATCTTATAACTTATAACATTATATAACATTATGTTTTTAGCATCTAAACAGCGATCAAGTGGGGGCATGGCCATTGCCTAATTGTGTAGACGTACGAGTATGTGCATTTCCGGTCATTTGCATACATATATAAAGTGTAAAGTGAGAGTGAGTGAGAGGAGAAAGAGAGAGAGAGAGAGAAAGAGATCAGATCTAAACTTTTGACTCTTTCTGATATATACCATAGTATACAAGATTTATATATTCAACTACGTTTGACCATAGTATATCATAGTGCTGAACACTGGGAAGCGCATTTCCTTGTCGGCCTCTAGAGGATGAACTGGATGAATGCCAACATGGGTGTCTTCATTCCCCCAAGACGGATTGGTTTAAGGGACAGAAAATTCCTAGGAAAGGCACCTGAACTTCGGAAAAAAAACTGTGTTTTCATGCAAACCTGTTCCAGGTAATGAAGCCAATGAATCTATGATTGTCATCGTTTAAAAACAAAAAACATATAACCATTTCCTCCTGCTTGGAGCCAAGAAAATGTTGGGATTCCTGCCAAATGTCCTTCAAAAAATCCAAGATATTTGCGTAGGTTTGTTGCAGAAGTCCCTATGTTTCTTAGTTCACCTCCCCATAAGACAATGACAACGGGTTGGACACGGGGCTGTCACAAAATTTGGAACGCCAACACCAGATGGTGTAGCAATGTGTGGGTGTATCTTCTTGATTCAATCTCCTCCATTTTGGATGATTCAACGTTGCTTCAATCCCGATTCTATTCCATGGAAAATCACCAGAAAAGATATCATAAAAAGATATCAAAACATCTAAAAGGTCTAAAAGATAAGTTGGTGCACTGGCACGATCCAGTCGTGTCCCACCTGTCGTCACCCACAGAGCCCTCGGATGGGTTGGCGCGGTTCTTCGGGGTGTGCTGCAGGATGTGTAGCACCTGGGCTCCAAGTTGAGTGGGGGCGCTAGTTGGGGGTCATCATCATCCCAAGCAGGATCAAAAACCATTATATAAGTTATATATATATATTGTGTGATTGTATAGATGACTCCACCAACCAGTTCATTTTTCACCTTTTGATCATTGAAATCTGCGGCAAACAACATCGAAGAATAAGTCAATGACCGACACTGGGCATGGTAAACATGGTCAGGGAAGCTGGGTCGCAATGAATGGATCATCTTGACAGGGACTTCTTCGTCCATAGTGGGTGGCTTCACAAGGATTGTATTGAACAATACTTTGGCCCCAGTGAAAGAACCAGCAGTCTTGATAAGATATCGTATATGTGATTATAAGATGCACATAATTTAATTAGTAGTCAATTCTAGACGAACGAGGTTTAAGGCAGTTTGAGGCAAGGCCATCAAATTCATGCTTTCTCTGTAGATGATGTGGTCAGCCGACGGGACTCTGGCTATCCCGTCCAACTGTTATCCTTGCAGGTGAGAAACCCAGTCGCGGACCATTTTCACCTGTCGCCGGTTGGTGCCAGTATACCCCCAAGCCCAGGGAAAGTGCTGGTGTAACTGGGGATGATACCCCCAGACTGGGTGAACTGACCCTCCGACCATGATGCAGCACGTCCAGTCAAGACAGTGTTCAATTTGGAAATTCAAAAATTGACCGGTTCGCGATTTTGCAGTTTTCCATCCCTCCTGTCGAAAACTGTCCCAGTGGTCAAATCTTCCAGTTGTAAGCAATTTCATTCTGCGGAAATGGTCGGGTCCCATGTTTGAAAAGCAGAATCCCAGTAATCTGTTTTCCCCAAACATGAACAGTCTTCTTGGATGCACACCTACCTATTTTGAGGGGTGCCTAGCCTATGTAGTCTTCAAATGAAACACGAAATGGATCCCAGAAATGAAACTCCATTCGCAAAATGGCTTGGCGGCATTCGCCATAGCCCAAAAAGTCTGGGTGTGTTCAGCGGCTTCGCCTGAAAAGTATTTTAAAAAAAAGTAATCCCGAATCTAATCTAGTGGTCGTTCATCATAATTTCCCCCATGAAAATGGTCATTTCCGGTCGGGTCCGGATGTTCCACTGAAAACATCCCCCCATCCGCTAGGTGCCCCAGGCGAAATCGGCATCTTCGATATATTTCCTGAGGAAATCGGGCTCGGTAACATGTGGAAAATGGCCCATTTACACATGATTCACCTCTTAATGTTTGATGTTTAGCTATGTTGAATCACCAGAGGATGATATCTAACCAACCAAAAGAAAATGATGAACGATGTAGGTTTGAGATGGTTTAACAAGCAAAAAGTAGAGCTGCAAGCAATTGTGGAGGGGATACAGTAGCTGCTTTGTGAGTATGGGAACAACAAATTCACAAATAGGAGAACCCCACAAGTCCGCTTTCTACCCCAAGTATGTCCTTTTACCCCTGTAATGTCACACCTGCTATCTTGATTTGAATGCTTCTTACGTTTATGTGATGCAATGCAATGCAACGCAATGAAATGCAATGCAATGTAATGCAATGCAATGCAATGTAATGCAATGCAATGCAATGTAATGCAATGCAATGCAATGTAATGCAATGCAATGTAATGCAATGCAATGTGATGCAATGCAATGTAATGTAATGCAATGCAATGTAATGCAATGCAATGCTATGTAGTGTAATGCAATGCCATGCGGTGTAATGTAATGCAATGCAATGTAATGTCTGTCTGTATGTATGTACCAAATCATCCAAAATTTGCCCGTTTTAGTATTGAAAGGAAACTTCCATGTGTATATATATATATATATATAGATAGATAGATAGAGATAGATAGAGATAGATAGAGATAGATAGAGATAGATAGAGATAGATAGAGATAGATAGAGATAGATAGAGATAGATAGAGATAGATAGAGATAGATAGAGATAGATAGAGATAGATAGAGATAGATAGAGATAGATAGATAGAGATAGATAGAGATAGATAGAGATAGATAGAGATAGATAGAGATAGATAGAGATAGATAGAGATAGATAGAGATAGATAGAGATAGATAGATAGATAGATAGCTAGATAGATAGATAGATATAGAGATCAACAGTTTGGCTGATTCAATATCCCTTATTCTTGCTGGTTAAATGTCCACTTTGCCTTTTGCTCACGAAAATGCCAGGACATAAACATATATTCTTTCTACCCATCGATCTTACCATCGCTGGCTCCCAAGAGTTCCCCCAATTGTGAATGGTGAAATGGCTCAGTTCCATCCGCACAACCCAGGTGCAACATCAGTTGGATCTGTCTCTGCAAATCGTCGGGGCGTCGACTGTGTGGATACCTGGGAAAAGGTGCCGCGGTGCAAGCGGTGCCCAGGTGGTTGAAAAAATATTGACATATAATGTGTATATACAATGCTGTAATAATCTGATAATCTTATTATGTTATACTGTTGTATGATGTTGCAATATTATCATAGTATTATCTCCGTTTGGGATTGTTTTTATAATATATATATATATATTGTACAGTATCTATAATATATAAAACTTATTAACCCATCTCAGGTTTGGTTGAGAAGCCCATCTTTTGACATGATTGACTAACAAAACATCAAGCTGGTGACGAAATAATGACTTCAGAGATGTTGAAGTCCATGATATCCCAATTATCCCATCATATCTGGGTGCTTCCCAATCAATCCCAAACCCGAAATAAAAGGCAAACTTCAAATTACCGCACCTTTCCCCAGATACATCAATCATCATCAACCATCATCGTTTATCCTGAGGTCAGGCATGAGATCTCTCTAAAATTGTATAAAATCATCTAAAACCAAATAAAATCATCCAATGTATTTTATACTATATATAATTATATATATATATATACGTATACATATATTAGAGAGAGAGAGGTACAGAATCTCATAGAACATCATCTAAATAAAACCATCAAAAACCCAGGAAATTTTAAGGATCGCGACCGGGGTGCATGAGTCGCGACAGGGAGGAACGGAAGCAGCTGCGGAGCAACTTGGGGAACTCCAGGCCCTGCACAACTTCCTGGAGAAATCTCAGTGGGCTTTCGGGACATTTTACCGCGAAAACTATGGCTGAATTTTCCCTTGATAATAGGAGTTTTCTGTATGTTTTCCCCCTTCAGTACTGATGGACTGATGGAAATCTTGGTGCTTTGGGGCTATAGTTCACCAACAATCAACGAATTGATTTAACTTCAACAGCTTGATGGTGATTGACATTGATAGTAAGCAAGAAATGATGTGGCTGTGGACCTGAAAATGGGGTGTATACCGGTATACCCCAAAGTTATGGAATCTGTGGCCATCAAGCAAAGAAAATGATTAACCAGTGGATTTGAGGGGTTCCAGTTTTAAAACAAACCTTTAAAAATCATCTGTGTTCATCATCATTTTGAGTGGGGTTGAGAATGACTTTTTTGTGATGGGGAAGATTGACTGGAAAATGATGGGTTGATCCTCCTAATCCTATTTTTGATGGAAATGATGTTGCTTTCAGACGTCATCAGATGTCATCAAGGGGTGATTCATATGGAAAATGCTGGGGATGTTTTCAGGACGGAAAAAATGATGTCTTCTGCAATTGTCCAAAACGTCATCAACCTCAAATGTTGAGGTCCTGAGTTTCCCCCTTTAAAATTTATGAATTGATAAACATCAAAATGGCACCATCCCCCATCCCCATCCATCCCCATCAACGTTTCCAGGCGTCGATCAGTGGCATGTTGAGCATTGCCCCCAGGGACGGCATGGAGCTCAGATCTGCGGAGGGTTCCACGGAGTCCAAAAAGACCGCGGACCACTGGGAGTCGAAGTCGAAGGAGAACTTGCCGTCGTAGCCTTTGCAAAAAATGGGTGCTGCAAGGGTTGCCCAGATGAAGAGATGAAGAGAAAGTGAAATCCTACGATTTTTGAGATAGTGCTGTGAATTATTCTCTGTTTGTGGAGTTGTTGTGGAAATCAAAGGTAAAAACCACGGGAGATGACACCAGAAAGAAAAATGACAACTGAGACTGCTGAGACTAATTTACTAGCCATTAAAATCGCTGATGCCACATGTTGCATCCGCTTTGATACGTCTGCAAACAGGTTTGCCTGAATGTAGAGTACCCGATTCCGTCTCATGGTTCAATTGTTCAACATATTTGTATCGCTAGCAACGCGGATATCAAAATCATTCAAAATCCTCCATTTCCCCAAATATATCCAAATATCATATTACAGGTCATGCCCCTTCCCTTTGCTCGGTGAATATCCGCAAAATATCATTGCTTCATCCGTTCGGAAGGCCTCGTTGAAGGTGGACCACCAGCACAACGAACATGCTCCCAGGTGTTCCCTTGCCCTTTTGGCAGAAGCTGTTGCGTGCCTGGCACGGAATGCTGCCCTTGGGACACATGCAAATGGAATAAAAATTGGGAGTAAAAGTGCGAATGTATCATATTCATGTATAGTATAGTTATCAATTCATGTACAGTAATTTATGTACTATATTCTAATATACAATCGTACATGATCACCTGCATAGCATGAAATATCCAGCGCCGATCTCCCCATCTTCGTTGCCACATTCGGCCCCGCCTTTTCGCACACAAAGCGGCAGTGCTCAATCATTCGCACCGAGGCGGCCACGGGATCGGCATGGATGATCCTGGGAGAAAGCGATGGATTGGAGGTACCTACCATATCCTACCATATGTTTTTGGCCTATTGAAGGGCTATTTTCTAGGGAATATGCCCTGAAATATGGTACTAAGTTAGTACCTCCATAAAATGGATCCTGGAATTCCCATTGGTCACTAGTTCCAATGGTTGCCATCCTCTGAATTGTCACCGGCCGCCCAAAACCGCAATGGTCAGTTCCCTCTTTCTGCCCAGTGGCAAGAAGTTCTTGGTACCCGAGGTGTCTTGCAAGTTGTAGAAGTCGTGCACGGCCTGCAAGGCACCCATAGGGTACCGTTGGGGGAACGGGGCTTGGTAATGGGTGCGCATCCCAGCTAACAGCTGGATATGTGTTCTTATAAATATATGATAAATGCATAGAGTACGTAGAGATAGACGATATAATACATATACATGTACATATTAGATGTATATGTATAATATGATATATATATATACATACATATTACATAATTTTATATAATTATATATACATATGTATACATATTATAAATATTATTATAAATGTATATATATATATAACCATATGCATGTCCCACATGATATAGACCTGAGGAAACCATGTCATGACAACCGAGACCAGCCCATCTCTGGCTCCCAGATCGAAAGTGGCCAGGTACCAACCAGTTACTAGTCCATGGCCAATCGTAGATACCCCGGTAAAAAAATATAATTAATAAAACTTAGATCTTTCCAGAACTTCTTAGGTTGATATACAATACGCAGGAATGTTACATTTGATTAATGTTGATTATATTTATAATTATAATACTAGTAGGCAAGAAAAAGCACGATTTGGTGCACGAAGAAATAAACAAAACATGTCATGGGTGCTGTATGAGGAAATGCAAAAAAATGTTGTTCTGGTGCAAAAAATGGTGCTATAAATTGTGGTGTTCCTTGCCAAAATAGCAAAAAAAAACACGTTTTGAAGCACCATTTGGAGCACGACGGATTTAGATCTTTTTCCTATGCCAATCCAGAGGCTGGCGCAAGCAAAGAAAACTTCGCGGCGCTGAGCCAAGAAAAGCGCACATCTTGAAATTGTGATGTGTGATGTGTGACAGCCAGAAATTGCTACAGTTAAGCTGGATGGACGGGCTTTGTAGTCCAAAGTTTCCTACGTGTTCCCAAACTGCCGTAATCCTTTTATTAAAAAAATAAAACGTGATTTCATGGTGCACCATTTTGGGGGGTCTGTGTAGTAAGAAAACCTTTTACTGACTGTTACAGGGCAAGGAAAAGCTTCAAAATATCCTATGGAATCCTCATTTATTGTGGCAGATTCTCGTCCCCAGGTTTTCCCAGCGGGATGATGAGAATCGGATTGGCTCGTATCCCCGAAACCGACCAAAAAAACATTCATCAACCTATATCCCGTCCTGTTTCATGCCCATCCTCAAACTCCAAACTCAGGCTGTGAAGTCATTGTTAAATCCATTTTATACAAATCCCATGTTTCCAAAGCAGCGCAGCCACGCCTTCTCAATGTCCGTGGAGGAGGAGAGTTCGTGCAGCGACACTTCGGCTCGCGCCACCAGACCAGTCACCTTGCCAAGCTCACCACCCACCTGAAGGCCGGGCCACGGGATCAGCTGGAAGAAAACATGGAAAAGTGACATGTTGAAAAATCACCAATGAAATGGAGATTGAAATGGAAAAGATTGGGAAAAAATTGACATGCTTTTTAAATATTATATATATATTATTATATACTCGGAAATTGGAAAAGATATGGTCGTTCTCACCAACCTGTCAAGTGATCAAGAAGGAAACAGACATTTGGAACCCAGTCCATCTAGCTCGTTGGTCCATACAATGATGGGATAAATTCTGACCAAAATGGCTCTCCCTCCCGAGGTACCCCATTTCCTGAAAGTATCTGAAGAATTCTGACAATTGCCAATACCTGACCCATACCTGACCCATACCCATTCCCCGTTGTCCTGGCTGGTCCCTAACCCATGTAGCCATCCTGCCTTGCCCCGGATCGGACTGTAGGTCATCACCTTGGCCCATGGTGATGAATTCCAGCCCAAGTCGCCGCTATCTTGTACTTGATAGATCTTGATAGATCTTGATAGTAGATTGCACAAACTTGCAACAAAGATTCAGCTTTGGGGGCTACAAGTGATGTCTGGGTCCGGGGGCGGGTCTCCCTGGTTTCCTGGGTGAAACCCATCAATGTTTAGCTGCTTACGGATCTTCCCCTTCTGCCAGATGGGAAAGTTCATGAACATCCGAGGTTCCGACCCGCCCAAGATATGTCTGTTGAGAAGATAAGCAACAAAAACAGGGGCCATCCCAACTTACCGTCGTTCTTAATCCCATCGTTGGGTCGTCTGTGGCTTTCATCCCATCCACCATGGTTTCTGGGGCTTCCCCGCCATTGTCTGACCTCCATACTCATCGCACCAGAAGTCCTGCGCTGTTGAAAATGGAGGGATAAACATATCGATCTAAGGCAACTATATCAAGGTCCAGAACTTAATCCTTTTTATACAGTGTACACGTACATGTCTATATATATTATATAATTTACACAAATGTAAATGTTCTGCCAGTACCCTGCCCGAACTTGTGCGGTTGAAAACCATGCACCTTGTTCTCCACGGTCATTTCGGCAAAGGATGGCAGGTCCGAATGCCTGCTGAGATCTCGGTGCGCTAAACCCCAACTGACTTCTCAGGCTCATATACCCTGTGTCATTCCATGAAATATTGGTTGGTTCAGAACCGGATTCCGAGCTCAATCATGATCCCTAATATATTGGGAAATATTACCCGTTATAGTTTTAGTTATAATCATAAAATTTTGCGACATAGATATATACACCTTTCAAAAGTCCAACGCTGGCATGTGACCATCACACCGTCTGAACCAACCCCCTTCCTGCCAAAAGAAACATCCGGCCTCTGCTTCTCAAAGTATTCACTCACGATATCGAAACCTGCTGCAGTGCTGAAGATTGAAACTATTCGGATATTGGTAATCCAACCTGGGAACTGGAAAACCAACCATTCTACCCTCCGGTCATTTAACGCCATGGAAACCATGGCGCTTTATCCCCCAGATCTATATGATGTTCCCGGGTTGGGAGGTTGGAAGGTTGGAAGGAAAGAAAAGTGATCTATGTATGGATGGATGGATGCATGCATGCAAGTAGGTAGGTGGTAGAGAGGGAGGGAGGCAGGGAGGCAGGGAGGCAGGGAGGCAGGCAATGTATCTATGTATGTACGTACGTATGTAGGTATGTAGGTATGTAGGTATGTAGGTATGTAGGTATATAGGTATTTAGGTATGTAGGTATATAGGTATTTAGGTATGTAGGTATGTAGGTATGTAGGTAGGTAGGTAGGTATGTATGTATGTATGCATGCACATGCATGTGCATGTGCATGTGCATGTGCATGTACATGTGCATGTGCATGTGCATGTGCATGTGCATGTATGTATGTATGTATGCATGCATGCATGCATGGATGTATGTATGTATGTATGTGTGTGTGTGTATGTATGTATGTATGTATGTATGAATGTATGTATGTATGTACGTACGTACGTATGTATGTGTGTGTATGTATGTATATGTGTATGTGTATGTATATGTGTATGTGTATGTACATGTGTATGTGTATGTGTGTATGTGTGTATGTGTGTATGTATGTATGTATAAATGTATGTATGGATGTATGGATGTATGGATGTATGGATGTATGGATGTATGGATGTATGGATGTATGGATGTATGGATGTATGGATGTATGCATGTATGCATGTATGGATGCATGGATGCATGGATGCATGGATGCATGGATGCATGGATGCATGGATGCATGGATGCATGGATGGATGTATGTATGTATGCATGTCTGTGTGTATGTATGTATGTATGTATGTATGTATGTAATGTAATGTAATGTAATGTAATGTAATGTAATGTAATGTATGTATGTATGTATGTGTATGCGTATGCGTATGCGTATGTGTATGTGTATGTGTATGCGTATGCGTATGCGTATGTGTATGTAAATGTATATGTATGTATATGTGTATGTGTATATGTGTATGTGTGTATGTGTATGTGTATGTGTGTATGTTGTATGTATGTATGTATGCATGTATGCATGTTTGCATGTATGCATGTATGCATGGATGTATGTATGTATGTCTGTGTGTGTGTATGTATGTATGTACGTACGTACGTACGTACGTAGGTATGTATGTATGTATGTATGTATGTATGCATGTATGCATGTATGCATGTATGCATGTATGCATGTATGCATGTATGCATGTATGCATGTATGCATGTATGCATGTATGCATGTATGCATGTATGCATGTATGCATGTATGCATGTATGCATGTATGCATGTATGCATGTATGCATGTATGCATGTATGCATGTATGCATGTATGCATGTATGCATGTATGCATGTATGCATGTATGTATGCATGTATGCATGTATGCATGTATGCATGTATGCATGTATGCATGTATGCATGTATGCATGTATGCATGTATGCATGTACGCATGTATGCATGTATGCATGTATGCATGTATGCATGTATGCATGTATGCATGTATGCATGTATGCATGTATGCATGCATGCATGCATGCATGTATGTATGTATGTATGTATGTATGTATGTATGTATGTATGTATGTATGTCTGCATAATGTGTACATGAGTCATATGAGTATGTCACAGATTATCCATGTATGTATGTATTATGTATATATATAATTATATAAACACCACACATTATTTCATACATATCATGTAATATCATATCACATCACGTGACATTGTATCATACCAAGACCAAATCATAATATCAACCCCGGGCTCACCCCCAGATCCTGATAAATTACCATCAAGATGGGTGCCCCTCCTATTAATGAACAGGGGAGTTATTACTTCTGGGTTAACATGAATATGTATTTGCTGCAAGTGACTATCACGTGGTTGGGAAACCCAAAGTCTTAGCTCCTTGGAACCCCATTTGCCATAGGAAATACCCCTATCTCCAAAGTTCCTATTATAAATGGAGGTTTTAGTGGAACGTGTCCTAAACAATGGCGGTTTATAAAGCTGGAAACATTAGCTCCCTCCATTCCCCACTGGAGGTTTTAAAGCCCTTTTCAGTGACCAGATCACCAGGTCCGCCGGGCCACCGAATTTCATGTGCATCTCCTTCGGCTGAAGTGTGGCAGCCGTGATGCAGACCGCTTCCTTGGTCCCCGTGAGGCGTAGGCTTTGGTGAAGGTCTGGGCTCGAAATTGTGAATGATCTGAATGGATTCCCCCGTGTTGAAAGACTTACAATGTAACCATGGTGGATGATGGTGGATGTAGGGGACAAAAACACATAGGACGGTCCAGGCATGGTTGCGTGGTACCTGTACCGAATTGTGCAAGGTCTTTTTCAGAGCCGCCGTTTTCAGCAGAGAAAAACATCAACTATGGGATTCCAGCCATTTGAAGTCCTTACTGTCTCGTGTTTAGATTCATGAACCTTTTCTCTTGGATCTCTTAGCAAGGATTCTTTTCAGATTCCACATTGGGGGAGGTTATGCAGCATCAAAACCAACTCGTGGTCTGGGCAACCCATCATGGTCACCTTGGATCCTCACGGACGGTGCCAAGGCAGTGCCAAGGCAGTGCCAAGGTGCTGGGGTCAAGACCCATGTCAAAGCCCTCTTGGACATCTCAGCCAACTCGTCCAAGGATTCTTAGTCACGGCTGGTCTCCCCAGATTTGGAACGAAAAAAAACACCAAATTCCAAGAAGCTGGTGAAAAGCGAGAGAAATACGTGCATTTTGATCTGGACCTTAGTGCCTTAGTTAGGTCATCCAATTTCATATAATTCTATTATATGTTATTCGTCATGCAAATCCCAGTCAACTCCAATCGGCTATTGATGCCCATCATTGTGGCTCAAGCTTGCTGCTGTTTGACATCAGGGCAGGTTGGGCCGGAAAACCAACACATGAGCTCATTCACTATCCTCTGATATCCTCTGACCATGGCTGATGTTATAGACACAAAGAGCAAAACCCATGATTTATATGTGTTTGCTGGGTGTCTACTGTATTCACCCCATTGATGTAAAAAAAAATGGTGTGGGTCAAAGTTCAAGACCTGGACCGCGGATTTTCGGCCATTTCTCGCATGAACTATCCTATTTGTTGGGGTACCCAATTTTGAACAATACCCAAATGAAGCCATCAAAACCAGTCACCAAGGTTTGCCCAGATCAACCCATCTCTGCAGCCAGAAAGCTGTCGAGGTGGCTCTTCCGCAAGGTGAAAACCAGCGAACTCAGCAGTTCGGGGTGGTAGCCTGTTGCAGAGATTCGTTACGGAATCGATGGGCACCGGGGAAACCGATGGCACTGGGCTTCACAAACACACACGTAAAGACAGCTGTACATATATGGAGATGGAGAGACTGAGAGAGACACATAGTATCACATAGTATCACATAGTATCACATAGTATCACATAGTATCACATAGTATCACATAGTATCACATAGTATCACATAGTCACATAGACATAGAGCAACAACAGCCAACAACTAACAACAAAATAATGCTCATCCCAGGTTTTGGGATATGCAGTGCGACCATCCGGGGATTTTCCAGATACACCCCGGTTGGAGGGTCTCATCAAAACTCTCCATTGTGTTGCTTAAAACCACTGTGAAACAACGAAGATCAGCATGGCTGGGCTGCTTCAATCCCAAGGTTTTCCCAGATTTCCAGCCGTTCCGCACCTGCGATGGGTCGGTGCGACTGGGTGTTCAGCATGGTGCCCGGACGTTCCATGGCCTCCTCCAAAGCGTCGTCGTCCTTCACGGTCTTGCCAGCGCTCATCAGCCTGGGATCGGTCAAGGAGGATTGTTCCACTTGAAGACTTGGTGGAATTTATAGGCATTTATAGGATATATATATATATCATAATTATATATTATATATATATGCATATGCACTTCTTATAGGGATTTATTAGCATGCTTAGTGGGATCATACTGGGATAACATGCAGTTGCAGTTAGTTATAGGGCTTATATCCCAGCTAGTTGGTTAATCATGGCTTAATAATGGGATAATAGTGGGCTAGTATTGGGATATAAAACTATAGAACCACAATAATTGTATATGATATATAATTTGAATTAATTTGATATACTTTGGGATAATAAACTCTAAAACTAGGAACTGGTGAAGCCTGGTGATAAGTCCCCTTAAGAGGCCCACTTTATCCCATGTTTGGGATCAACTTTTCTGGGGCAACCAGCTAGTTTCAGAAAGGGACAGAATGAGATATTTCATGAGGATATAATCAACAATATCAGGCCAGGATAGATATTTGGGATTGTCTGGAACAGGCCAAAAATCCCCTGCATCCACTGGTTCATCCTTATTGTATCTAATTTTCACATATATGTTCACTGTTAAAATTGCCATTTGGGGGGCCCATTCATGGGTTTTTTTTCTATGCGGAACTGGTTAGAGTCACTAAGGGGGTGATCCTACCAATGCCAATCCTGGGTTAATGGATGTAAAAATCTCACCAATCGGAGGATTGCCATCCCCTTTTATATAGGAAAACAAACAATGTCATATAACCCAAATAACTAGGGATGTTCTCATGTTCCATACATATAAGTGGGGGTTCACAACAAGTTTCTGCGGACCTGCTATCTGGTATACCCCCTCCAGTTATGTTTGTTGGCGCAATGGAAACAACCCACGCTCGCCATGGGGCAACACGTTTTATCGGCGTTGGTTAATGGAACAATGATAAACTGGGATTGAACCAGCAACAACCTGGGATTCAACCGGCAAGAAACTGAATTGACCCTGGCTTGGATGATATACGTAGAAAAAATGGTAAGCGTATGATCAGATATGAGAATTAAACAGGTTTACTGGTCATATGGTTTTTCCCAGGGGATATGATGGGTACATCATGGCTTTACAGTATCGTATCGGTACATAACCTACTGGACCCACAATTAGTTGTGTGTTGTATTTCACCATCCTAGAATGGGGGCCAACAAATTCGAGCCATACAATTTATCGTTAGATCGTCCTAAAAACCAAGATGGAACCCCAAGAGTGCCGGGTAGAAACTGGATTCCGAGAGATATGGAGATGTACCGGAAAATTCCCTTTGATAATAATAGCCACAGACAGAAAAGGAACATTGACCCTGAACATCGCCCCATGTTTCATACCCCCCAGCAGCCAGGTCACTCGCAGAGCGTGTGCCAGAACTTGTTCACGCGCGCCAGCAGTGCCTCGTCCGCCTTGGTCATCAAGTCCTGCGCGCAGCACGTTTCACGCGCCGATGTGAGCGGCACTTTGAACGATTTTGGTGGTGGATTAACCATGAAAAATAGTATTTAATGGTGATTTCACCATCAAAAGATGATTATATATATATATAATTATATATACATAGAGATAGATATGTGGTGATTTCAGTAGGACGGACAAAAATATTCAAACCCTGCCACACGCTCTATGTTGAACCCACCGGCAAATCTCAATGTTTCAGCGGGCGTGTTAGCAAATGTGATGTTAGGGGTTTGATTTGTGTCATTCACTGGGGCTAATGCACCTTCACATAAACATTGACATTTGGGCGAAAGGGTTGTATTTGATAGAAAGGGTTTGACTATTTCGTCCATCTACGGTTTAACACTATACTGTTATCAGAATATACCCAACGAAATAGGGATGATATGATGGAAAAAACAGAGGGGTATCATGGGGATGTAACAAACAATATGGTGAACAATCATGGGCATAACATGGCATAACCCACCAACCCCAAGAACAGTGAACTATTTTTGATGGTTAAATCACCTTCGGGATGATCCTCCTAGATGAGAAAATCCACCGCCATTTTTGGCTCTCCCGTCCTTTCGCAGGAAGATCTGCTTCTCAAAGCGGTTCAGCAGAGGCGGAGCCAAACGGAAGTAGGCATCACCTGAGGCGCCACACTGGGGATAGCAGATCCCTACTGGAATACCTGTATGGAATGTGATGTGATGTAATGCATATAATATTACAGTATGTATACATATATATAATATATACTACCCATATATATATAGTCTATATATGTTATATATATTCTATGCTCTATATATATATAGTCTATGTTATATATATACATATATATATATTCTATGTTACATATATATATATTATGTTATATATATATATTATCCTTTATATATATATATATATTCTATATGATGTATATACCTATTTTTTGTTATAAATACATAGACACATGTGCGAGCAAGATGTCGAGTATGATTGGGATCATCGATTACACCTTCCATAAGCGGGGTTCACATGGCTTGACTATGAAACCCATCGTAGCTGCTGACAATGGCCCACCAAGATTGGAGAGTCAGTTGCATTGGAACCGTTATATGATGTGAAACGTGACCATTTCAAGAGTTGAGGGGCTTCAAGCCAGGGGGAAAAAGTCACTAAGTATCTAAGTCATGTTTGTGTTGTTAGTTCACGCAACCTCTCAAAATCCACCACTTGTCGGAAACTTTGGTTTAAACGTTGTTCGTCAGATCCTCCCATTTCCAACAATTCCTGCGGCAAAAAAAGAACGTCAACGAACCAAAATCATCGTCATCATCGTCATCGTCGTCGTCATCATCATCATCGTCATCATCATCATCGTCGTCGCCGCCAGCAACAGCAACAACAACAACAACAACCACAACCACAACCACAACAACAACCACAACCACAACCACAACAACAACAACAACAACAAACAGCAACAAGAACAAGAACAACAACCACAACCACAACAACAACAGCAGCAACAACAACAACAAGAACAACAGCAGCAACAGCGACAACAGCGACAACAGCAACAACAGCAACAACAGCGACAACGGCGACAACGGCGACAACGAAAACAACATCGTCCTCATCATCAACAACTTATCAATGAATGGTGTGTGTTTTGTGCCAGCTAAGCTGCTCAGCTCGGTTACCACGATGACCCTGAAGAGCTTGTGAATTGGGCACTGCTTGGCTTTGGAGCCGTGGGCGATTCTCACCTCGAGAGCGAGGTTAAAGCCGGGTTTTGGAACTCAAAAAAAGGTGAAATGAACATCACCTTCAAAATAGATTGTTTAAGCAGCCATTGCATGTGCCTTTTCTGCCTTTAGGATCTCTTATATGATATGTACAATATATCTACGTATATACATCAGGAAGTATTTCAAATTACAATGTGACATTTGGGTGGCCACTAATATCAAAATCCTCAAACATCGGGATTTGGTGGTCAGCAGTCATCCTAGGTCTGAAGGGTGCAGGATTCCTGTCATTTCAAGCACGACGCATCTGGCTTCGAGCACGAGAATCCTGACAACTCAAGATCCAATGAATGAAGTGTGCATCTACCAGCCACAAATCCCCCCACCCCATGGGATTCTGCGAAAACGTCCCAGAAAACACTCTCCAGTTGTGCCCAGGGCGCATATCTTTGGCCCGCATACTCCATGTAGTGCTGGTTCAGCAGGTCGTACAAAGACCTGAGGAGGGCTGGCATGAGGTAAGGTGGCTACGCTACACAAATAGTGATGAATTACGATTAAAATCTATACCCCCGCTTGTCAGTAACAATGAGGGTTGACATTGTGGTTCCCTATACAAACTATTAGTCATTATACAGATTCAATATATAATATATGTATAGTACATGGTTTTGCTGACCATTGGGTACCCCCAAATGTGGCAGTTGATCATCAATTTCCCCATGAAAATTGGCATTTGAGGGTATCCCCCAGGTTCAAACCTCCCAGTTCCCCCCCAAGCCCTTGGGGCAACTGTGGCTTCCCAACTCATAAAGGGAGTCGCAATGCACCATGACCAAGGAGACCGGCTGCTGCATGTAGCTCTTGATTCCTGAGACAGAACAGGACTAACAGATCTCGGAGGCACAGGGCTGGACAGGCTGGGCCGAAAAAAAGGGTCACTTCATGTCACTTCATACAATTGACATGAAACTCCCAAAAGAAAAACTCCCAAAAGAAAAGGGATCATTGCCATTTCTGGCAGAAAAAAATTAAAACTGTCTTCCATTTTGAGGGGGTTGCAGACTAGTCAAACTTCGGGCTGTGAGGGCGAATTTCAGGAGGGGTCAGGGCTCATTCTGTATTTCCTTTGAAGTTCCGGATCTACAATTCCAATAGATTATGTTTTTGTAATGCGCCAAACTTAGACTTAGACAAAAGAAACATATGGTGATCACTAAGTGACCGACTATGACCAAGATGTTTAGGCCCATCCACTCCCCCTTCAAAGGTTGATTCGCCACAAAAATGGGAGACACAGCCCAACTCCTCCAGCACGAGGCTGTTGCATTGTCTTCAACAAACATCGCAGCGACAAGGGACTTTGCAGGTTCATGGCCACAAACATGTCACTGAGGTCGTTGGGGAAGGTACTTCCAAACATCACCTCCATCAGATGGCTGGAACTGTGCCAAAACATTCATTTCCGCTGCTCCTGGTTGGTTCATACATCCAATTCTTGCGCCTCGGCACGGCTGTGGTCCAACAGCCCCCCCTCGAAGAGTAGCCGCAAGGCGGCGTTGTTCTTGGTCAAGAGCATCAGGTGCCTGCGGGAGTGCCACGGCCCCACGGTATGGGATCTTTCATCTGGGATGAACATCCAGATATACCGGGCTACCAAAGTTTCATCCCTACCAGTACATTGCCATTCTATGGGTTAAGCCACCTCTCCCCAATGCTCGTCAGATGTAAACCCAATATGAAATGGTACCAACCGATATTCCCCATCAGACTACCACATAATATACCATCCATGACAATTCAAAAATACTTAAAAATCTGATGTATTTGTAGAAATATATATATATATATATATTTATATTTATATTTGTATTTATATATATATCATGTCTTTGAGCAAGTCCTTCAACATGTTTAAAAAAGTGCAGGTCACCAAATTTTCCGAAAGAGGCGTCTCCACTTCTCCAAGAGGATGGCCAAATCCAAGGCCTGGCATCTGGCTCCTCCAGATTCTGCTTAATGAGCTCCTGCGTGGTCAGGCGCTCCACGTCGCCAAAGTCCTGGACTTTGACGTGGACATGGGGAGTTCAGCCACAAAGTTCGTGAATCAGTGGCATTTGACCATCCAAAATGGGGGTTTTAACATTTGTTCAACCATCAAAAATGGGGGTTTAACATTATTTAACCAATGAATGATGGATAGGGGGTATGCCTGAAAATGGTGCTATAGCCAAGAAGAGATAGGGAGTAGAAACAACAATATCTGAGTATTCGGGATAGTAACCAAGATTATATGATACTGGCTGTGTCTGGAAATGGGGTATATACGGTATTACCATGTACTACCGTATACCCCAAAAATATGGCCATCTCAATGGACAAATAATAAACCTGGAAAATGGTGGGGTGCCCTATTTTCAGACAAACCGGCATATTGATGAAAAGGCTAAGGTCAGTGGGTCCAATGGAAAGTGGCCTCTCACCTGTGAATGAAAAGGATCGAAATATCTTGGGATAGATATTCCACCCACAATTCGGACGGGGGTTTAAATTTTGTATCAAGGTTTATATACCCCAATTCCCAGTGATAAATCAAAGAAAAAACACGATTTTTTTCAGGGACATACTGTATCATCCCTTGATGCATTCCCCCTCAACTCAGATGCATCAAGCGATATATGCCAGTTTTTTTCATGCATTCTAACTCCTAGGATGGTTAGTTTGGTTAGTTTGCTTTGCCATGTCCTTCCATTTATGTCCAGGGCTTATTCAATGGGTGGCATCCCCCTCTCCAATCATAGGATGATGTGCTACCCAGAAACCAACTGATGCAGATCGGCGTCCCTATTTCAGATCTGACAAAAAAAAACTTTATGACCTGGATTCTTCCGGGATACCGGTAAGCCATATAATGATCAAATAAGCAATGGTGCGAAGCCAAAGCTGGTCGTGCTAATATCAGTACAACGTGCAGCACCAGTTCTTCACAGCTGGGGGGCCGCACCATTCCAGTGCGCTCGAAGAACTCTTCGATGCAAGCCTCAAAGTTGGGAGTGCTTGGATGTACAGTAGGTACCCTCTGGGTATTTAACATAGCCATGGGAAATGGCCCATAGAAATAGATGGTTTACCTATTAAAAATTGTGATTTTCCATGGCTATGTTAAATAACCAGATGGTATGTGGTTATATTTATATGGGTATTGGTCAAAAACCTGTACCCCCAACATCAAAAACAGCTGGTGCTGATTTGGATGTTCATCTTTTCAAATATGCTACGACCCTCGTTACCCATTCAACTCCCATGAAAAACCACCATTGTTGATGGTGAAATCCACCGAACTAGCATTGTTGATGGCAGTAACCATGGAATAACCCATACCCTCTTGTAAACTAACATAGCTATTGAAAATTGCCATTTATAGTGAGTCTTCCCATGAAAAATGGTGGATCTTTCCATAGTTATGTTAGTTTACCAGAGGTAAATAAACTGGATGATCTGCGGATGTGGCACGACTTTCAGGAGCCCCCCCTTTGGGGCGTCGAGTTGTGATTTTGTTGTGACATGTTGTGACTATGATTCTGCTGGCTAATCTACCCACAAAGGTTCTGTGACCAAATCTTGATTACCATCTAAGGGTATCTGTGATCTGCCATTCTTGGGCAGAGCCGCATTATTTCTACTATCTCCATATGTGCCATGGTCAGAAAATGGTATACCGGGTATGATCATCCCACCATCACGAACAGGAATCCCGGATCAATAAAAAAAAACATGGATTGATGTCCATCTGATGGGTATAAAGCCCGACTTTTGACTATAGTTGGTTATATACATATATATCCCATGAAATATTCCCATGAGTATCCCAACAAATCACCATGTTTGAATGGTTGTTTATCCAACTTGATCCTATTGTTATGGTATATGATCCAAATGTTGATTATACTTGGTTATATATCCCCACATATACAGTACATATGTATATATATATATACATACAATTGTTTTACATGTCCCCATTAGTATCCCATCAAATGCTGTATCCTATCAAATGCCTATGTTTAATGGTTGTTTCTCCAGCTTAACGCAAGTTTTGACCATGCCGCAGCAGCGATCCGGCCTCCAGTTGGTCTTCAGGTTGCCCTCCGAAGTTTCTTTGGACCGTCTTCATCAACACCTCAGCACATGGCACGCGTCTTTCACGGCCCAAACCAGGTGTAACCAGCACTGCAAAAAGTTCAAAGCTTTGGAAAACTCCTTAGTGCAGTAGTTGGCAATGGTCATAAACTTGGGATGATATGAGATATGAAATGATATAAACCAGCTGTAACCAGCTGTAACCAGACCAAATGTTGGGATTTCTTGGATGGTTTCCTTGAGAATTGCCAAGACTGGCTTTTTGGTTTGTAGTTGTGAACCCTAAGACCTTCCGACGAAGAGGGGAAGTGATTCATGGCCCAGTAGTCATATTGTTGGTGAACAGTTTTACCCCCATTCATTGTTGGCTATGCCCCGTCATATTTTTTTGCCAAAATTGTTTAAGCATCATTGTCATCACAACTAATCAATCGTTTCCCCCGTTCATATTGAATATAGCCGCATATAGCCCAAAAATCAAAGCCGATTGAGTATGAAATCACCGCCATATGAGTGGTGTTTTGTCTATGATCGGGGGAAGGGATTTGTCATTATCAACCATGTTTGACCTACCATCTGGTTATTTGACATAGCCATGGAAAATCCCCATTTTTAATAGGTAAACCATTTATAAATGGGCCATTTTCCATGGCTATGTTCAATAACCAGAGGGTATCTAATAATCATTGTATAAGCTTATGTTTGCAGATTCCAGGCATCCACACTGGGAATCAAGGAAATTATAACATGATGAAAACAAATGGAAAAAAGGGATTGACGTGCAAAAAAAATAGGAAAAAATTGGAGGACAAAACCTCGTGATTTTGTCATTTTAAGTTGTTCCTATTTTTTCCCTATTGGTGTCACTATGTGTTTCCAAATGTTGTCCTATGGTTTTCCATTTATTCTTATTATGTTCCTATTTTGTCCTATTTTTTTCGAGGTTGTGGAAATCCAACATGCCAATTGAAAATCGCCCGAAAAATCAATGAGTTTCCCACTAAACATCCATTTAGGTCGGGGGGATTCCCAGCCATGTTAGAGGACGCCTAAGGGTAAGTAATATTCATACTATATCGCCATGAAATTCCTATCAAATTGGTGGTTAATCCTCATGATATTCCTATTATATCATATTACATCCCCATTCAATCCCCAGTAGAATCCCTATAAAATCCCTATTAAAATCTCTATAAAATCCCTATAAAACCTCTAATAAAATCCCTACAAATCCATCTAAAATCCCTATAAATCCCTACAACATCCCTACAACATCCCTATTAAATATGTAGAAAATCCTTCTAAAAACGCTACAAAATCCCCAAAATCCGTGAAAAAATCCTGGCATCTCTATAAGATCCCTATAAAACCATATAAAACCCGTGTAAAAACACTACAAACCCTAAAATCATTATAAACCCTATAAATCACTAAAAACTCTATAAAACCTTTATAAAATCAATATAAACCCTCCCTATAGAATCAAAATAAAATCTCTATAGAATCCCATTAAAATCCTCTGCCCTATAAATATATATATATATATATAATCTCTATAAAACCCTTATAAAATCCCTATAAAATCTCTATAAAATCACTGTAAAACCCTTATAAAAGGTGTGGGGCTGGGAGAAAACCCATCTTTATAAAATCTCTATAAAATCTCTATAAAATCCCTATAAAATTTCTATAAAATCATCTTTGGTGGTTTGGGAGGGGGGTGTGGGGTGGGGCCAAAAACGTTCAATTGCACTTACACACATACTTGATGCGATGCTAGAGACATCTTTTCTTGCACATGCACACATACTTCCTGCTACGCTAGAGACATCTTCTCTTGCACTCACACACATATTTTTTTTACAACAGTGGTCTTCTCTTGCACATACACACATACTTCCTGCTACGCTAGAGAAGTCTTTTCTTGCACATACACAAGGAGGAAAAAATGTCGTGTTTTGAAGAAGTTTTGCCCTGTAAAACCCAATGGAATGTTGCAATGGGTCTTCAAAATCCTTGGGGTTTTCAAGGTGCAATTCCAACATGATTACGGCGCTGTGGCGCCAAGCACATTTGATTCCAAAACATGGACAACTGCTGCTAGCGCGATTGTCACCCCGCCGGGGTGTTTATGTCTTTTGGGGTTTACAGAAACCATCCCCACATCTTTCAAAAAGTTATTTCGTTTTGCTCTTCCAAACTCCAACAAAACAGGAGATTTAATCATGCACCCCCAAAAACACGCGCGAACTTCTACCAGCCCGACGCGTTATAAATTCCCTATAAAATCATTGCAAAATCTCTATAAAACCCCTATAAAATCATTATAAAAACATTATGAAATCATTATAAAACTCCTATGAAACCCTATAAAAGCCTTATAAAATCCCGAAAAACCCCAAAAAAACCTTTATAAAGCCACTATAAAATCACTATAAAATCTCTAAAAAATCTCTATAAAATCCTAGTAAAAAACGCTATAAAATCGCTGCAAAACCAACGTAAAACCCTATAAAAACGTATAAAAACCCTATAAAACAACTATAAAATCCCTATGAAATCGCTATATCCCTATAAAATCGCTACAAATCCCTTGTCGAAGGAAGTTTAGAAGTCAAACTTCCGACAATATGGACAGATGAAAAGCAGCGATGGGAAGAGTCAGCGAAGAGCAGAGAAGAAGAAAGAAGATCAAAAAAGAGAAAGTCTCAGAAGAAAGAAGATCCAGGTGCGCGAAAAGGTAGGAAAGTCGCGAAACACTGCGTTTTTCCAATGATTTGTGAAAGCGGCGGGTGCGGAGCCCGCTGGGCAGATGAGAGATGAAAAATTGCACGCCGTTGTGGCGCGAAGCACATTTCGAAGCCAAAATGTACAAAACACCTCAGCTTCAAGTTGAGATGTTGAAAAGTTCACGCCGTTGTGGCGCGAAGCACATTTCGAAGTCAAAAGTGGAAAAACTGAGGGGTTCGGAGCACTTTTGGACGTTCAGATATCGTTTTGCGTGGCAGGCGCACGGGATTGTGCACCTTGTCAAAAGTGAGCAAAACGTGAGGGTTTTGTAGCATTTCCAAAAACGATGGCAGGCGTGGGACATTTGAAGAGGATCTGCAAAGATGCATTTTCCGCGGCAGGCGCAGTACAAGAGACATGTTCAACAAGAGACATGTTCATCAGAGCTGTTAGGAGGTCCGGGCGTTGATTTCCTGAGAGGGGTTGCATTTTGGAGCATCGGATCTTCAGGTTTGCTGAGATGATTTTGCGTGACAGGTGCAGCACTTCGTATGACCCGTATTATTTTTTCGTGGCAGGCGCAGTAGTTTAGACAGGTGGAGTCGAAAAATCGCAAAACGCATTGGCACGACGCCGTCAGCTCTGCACTCAACTTTCCATTTCTGAAGGAAATCGCAGAATTGCTTCGTTTTTGATGTTGTCAACTTTAAAAAATGAGGAAGTCTCGCGGAATTGCTTCGTTTTTGATGCTGTCAAGTGCAAAAATTGAGGAAGTCTCGCTAAATTGTTGCGCTTTTGATGTTGTCAAGTTCAAAAACTGAGGAAGTCTCGCAGAATAGCCCGTTTTCAAGCTTGCAGATAGACAGATAGATAGACAGACAGACAGACAGAGAGAGAGAGAGATAGATAGATAGATAGATAGGTAGGTAGGTAGATAGATAGATAGATAGATAGATAGATGAAAGAGGAGGGAGGGAGAGAGAGAGAGAGAGAGATAGATAGATAGATAGATGGATAGGTAGGTAGGTAGGTAGTCAGAGAAAGAGAGAGAAAGAGAGGAGACCTCAACCACCTTTCGGTCCATCAGTGGCTTCGCTCTGCCATCCGTGATTCACAACAACCAACCTCTCCTATAGGTTTCGATTTTTTTGAAACTTCCGCCAACGCCTTGTGCGGCACTACTGGTAAATCTCTATAAAACCCTTATAAAATATCTTTAAAATCTCTATATAAAATCCCTATAAAACACCTATAAAACCCCTATAAAACATGTTTAAAATCTCTATAAAATCACTATAAAACCATATAAAATCCCTATAAAACCCTTATAAAACCCCTATAAAAACCCTACAAAATCCCTACAAAATCCTTATAAAATCACTATAAAACCCTATAAAATCCCTATAAAACCCATATAAAACATGTGTAAAACCCTATAAAACAAGTTTAAAATCACTATAAAATCACTATAAAACCCTATAAAATCCCTATAAAAACCCTATAAAACACTATAAAATCCCTATAAAACATGTTTGAAATCCCTAGAATATCCCTATAAAATCCCTATAAAATCTCTATACAACCCTTTTAAAATTCCTATCAAATCTCTATAAAACCCTTGCAAAAATCTCTATAAAATCTCTATACAATCCCTATAAAATCATTATAATATCCCTATAAAATCACTATAAAATATCTATAAAATATCTATAAAACCCTATAAAACATGCTTAAAATCACTATAAAACCACTAGCCTATTAAACCCCTATAAAACCTCTATAAAATCCCTATAGAATCCCTATAAAATCACTATAACTTCCTAAACCCCTATAAAACTATATAAAACCCTATAAAATCCCTATAAAACCCTTATAAAACATGTTTAAAATCACTATAAAATCACTATAAAATATCTATAAAATCCCTATGACTTCCTACAGATTACGGGATCACTCCACCCCCCGTTCCGCTCCGGCCCACGGCCTTCTCCTCGAGCACCGCCTCCAATCCGGCGGCCGCGCGGATCTTCAGCTCCGCGTTGATCACGCGCACCGTGCCTTTGGGATGACCGAACCAAACCCCACCAACTGGGATATCATGGGAATATGATGGGAATATGATGGGAGATCGCCTTGGGGGATCGCCTGGGATGACACAGATCGATGATAGCACAATGGGTGTGCCTAAAAATGCGGACCAAAATAGCAATTGAATGAAGCAAATGATGATCAACTGTCAAACTTTAGGATGTCCTAATTTCAGACAAACCCATATAAATGCCATAATCCAATTCCTTTATCATAGAACATATCCAATACCAAATCAGGACGTGTATTGGAGGGTATTGAATAATTATTTGGGTGAATGGATTATAAATCCCAGAGTCACACAGATCTATGGATGACATAGATAATAAGATGATATGGAGACGTTGTGGATGAGACACGTGTCCAACTCTTGCACTACACAATATTATGTACATATTATATAATCATATACAATATAGTCTATATATATATATACATTTGCAATCATTTGTAGAATGACCGGCATCCATGGAGTGTATCCTTATTTCTCCATCCATAGCATAACAAAGGTTTGAAGACTGGTTCCTTGTGAACTAGGAATACATCTGTCGTATGGATGCGGGTGGATGCCTTCCAGAGTTGTTCGATGAGGATGGAACATTGAAAACATGTGTCCACTACATGACTACATGACACCTCTTGTGACCACTTGAGGACAGAGTCACAAGCACCACCTGGGACGACAAGATATCTTCAGAGGTCTGGGCCGCACCCCCTGGGTGTCCGGCTGTAGAATTCGCGCATGCCCCAGAAGTCGGGACGCTTCTGGCCTCGCTGCCGAAGCTCACCAGCTTCGGCTTTCCGGGGTCAACCGGGGTCCAAGGATGTCCAAGTCAGAAAGCCACCAAAATCATTACCCCCAGCCCCCAGTGTATCAACAAAGTTTCAGGATCCTACAGTTTTAGACACATGCCCATCCTTGAGAGCCAAAATGCTCGTTTTTGTACTATGTAGTGAGTGTAGTGTCCAAACCCACCCATTGAATTTTGGGCGAGTTGCGCTTGTAGATCTCTGCAAATCCTTGGGACAAAGCCTTCAAGTAGGACTTCAAGTTCTCCTGAATAAATCGGCCGCTGCGGGTAAGTTTCCCATCTGGCCGTCTAGGGGACAGAATTTTACATGAACACAACGCATCTCTATGCATCTCTTACCCATGTCTTTTGCGATGCTAGATCTGCAAAAGCAAATAGACAGGTACTACCCAGATATGGCATGATATGGTTATGGGATGCTTGACCTTGGTACATCATTTACCAACACAAAAATAGATTGCAAATGAATGTTCATTGACTCATCCTCGCCAAAATAGTCCCATACAGTAGCTATTAACTCATCATGTCGAGGGAAGAACTGAAGCCGGCTCTCCCCCCAGAAAGTGCATCCGTGTTGTGGCTCCAATGATTCGCTACATAGAAATGATCCATTCTGGTCCATTTCAGGAGCTAAAAACTCAAGCTCTGAGGATTCAAACTTCCTAAGATCGCTGGGATACACTGCCGGGTCGAGGCCTCTATTCTTCAAAAAGATGGGCCAGTCTGAAGATGCGAAGTACCAGCCGTAATTTTGGGCTTTGATCTTGACTCGTATCCAGTTTTCCCGGTTTGAAAAAGAAAAATGGTACGCCATAGTCAATAGTCCAATTAAAGCCGTATTGTTGCTGGTTCAACCCCCATTGTCTAAATTTAACCGCTATTGCTGATGGTGATATATGGTGATATACCCTTCTGCCAATCAAACATGGGTTTGCTGGAAAATATCCCAGCCGATTTAGTGCGGGCATTTCCCAGCCACCCGCCATGTTTGATGACACCAGCGGGAAACTTGTATCAAATATATCCAATGATTGTGGTTATATAGTTTTATATCCCATTATTGACCCACTCGTTGAAAAAGAGCCAACTAACTATGATTATATTACATGTTTATTTATATGAGCTGCGAACCATATTTGTTACATAACGCAATTGACGGGGTGTTCCTACCTCGTTCTCCAGTCCCGTAACGTTTTTGCCTACCTCGTTCTCGGGGTGTTCCTACCTCGTTTTACAAGCTAAATATGATGTTTTTGACAAACCGAGGTACGCCCGAATACTACTTTCCATATACGCAAATAAGAGCCGTCGCTCATATATATATATATATCACTTGTAACTATAACTGCAACTATTATTATCCCACCATTCTCCCATGGTGTCACTGTAGATCTCAGTCATTGCTGGATCCACGTCACCGAGTATTCACCCACTATAGATCTGGGTAAACGGGTAAACTAAAATAATTCATTAACCTGAAGTAAGTCCATTTGGGGATGATTCATGATGATATCTGGTTGGTGGTATACCTACCCCTCTGAAAAATATTAGTCAGTTGGGATAATTATTGCCAATATATGGAAAAATAAAAAATGTTCCAGACCACCAAGCAGATATATTTCCCGACTACTAACCATGTTTTTCCGCTAAAGGTCGCAGGGCTGGGTCCTTATACCCAGCTACATCCAAGGCACCGACTGGACCATGCCCTGCGCCGTGACGCTCAGATCCGCCACCGTGGGCGGCGGTCGATACAGCGTCACGCAACGGCTCATCTTGGCCTAAGATCAGCGATCTTAGCCACGAAATCCCTATGAAAACCCCTCAAAAACCTGGAATTTTCACAGCAAAATGGCCGGTGTCTCTGGATGTTAATCAGTTGATGCCCCTCAAATTGTGGTAATTATAGCTATTGATCCATGGCCATGTCAGAACCAGCAAAAGGTGTTGTTTTTCACGGAGATAATCTTTGGGCGTGCACATTTTCAACTACCGTACTTATGAATAAGTAAATCGGCAAACACAGATATACAAACAAATAGATAAGCAAAATATGTGTGTATGGTATGCATATTTATATATATATATACATAATACCTATATGAACAAATGAACAATAAACAAACAAAGAAATACGGAGAACTAAGCAACTCCTATGGACTTTTTTAGACCATAACTATAACGCAAAAGAAAGATTGAAAAAGTAAAATCCAATGCCAAAATTGTACATTTATCCGTTTCTGAATCTTTTCGGGGATGGCCATACCCCAATCTGGCCCAATCTGCCCAATAATGTGACTTTTATTGTCGTAGGGATGGTTTATTGAAATTTCAACTCATGGGTTGTTGAAAACCCAATAACGCGAATTAGGAAACCATCCACTTTATATGTGTGCCTCAAAATGGTGCATACACCCGTTCGTGGCAATTCCAAACGGAAAAATAATCACAAACAGATTTTAGGGGTCCATCGTTTTGGCTGAAGTATATCAAGTCACCAACCTCAAAAAATCGACCATTCACGTCCCTTGCGGACAAAAAGATCACCCATTTTGTCGTATTTACCCCAATCCAAGTCCCATCATTCCAGTGATGTCGTAAAAAAAAAAGGTTGTGCTCAAATTTATCCCGCAATATCACCATTTTACCACCACTACATGGCAATCCCCAATACGATAGAAAAGCAACATATCACTATTTTAGTAGGAATTTACTGTTGTATCTCTGTAACGGGTTATAGTGGTAGTCTATAAACGTTCATGAGAGTTTCTTGGCTATCTCCATATATATCCCATAATAGTCCCATTATACCACCATAATATAATATATATATATGCTACCCCCCCCAAGACCTACATTTTGTGTATTAGATATGTCGTTGAATGTTTTGTTTTCCTTCTTATCCTCTCACCTATTGTAGCACTGCATCAGGAAAGTATCTTGGGTGCATGCGCCTGGACACATCCTGCCCACATATGTAGCTGCAGCTTAGCGCTGTAACATCTACATTTGACATCTTTATTTCATTGTATTTATACAATGTGTTCTTTTTTATGTTTTCAAACATGTTTAATATATCAGCACGAATTTTATATCTATGATCTGATTCTTGCAAGTCTGTTTTTCAATATTTTCTACAACATCTGATATTTTTACATAACTTTTAGGATTTGCAGCAATATGATTAGGGGAATAGTTGGGTTGAAATTGTGTTATCTGTTTTTACAACAGGGTATAGCATATTATCTTTATTTTTTTGATGAATACCACTTTTTGTAAGGTAGTTTGTTTATAATGACTACTGGTGGAATTCATGTTTACTAAGTTTTCTGTAGCAATTTGAAAGGTTTTAGCTTCTACCAAAGATGGGCTTTGTGCAAGGTTGGATGATATAGTTAGTGCATCTTGAGATTTTACATGTTTATTTATGTAAGATTTTGCAGATAATAAAGGTGTATGTAAAAAGTACAATAGATATACGTATATATATATATGACTGATCTCCAGTTATATTTTTTAGACATATTGATTTTATCATGCAATTACTGCTGCAACCCCTAGGTTTGCCCGCGGCCAATCCCGCATATCCTTTGACAAGCCCAAATCCCTGCGCAGGGTTTAAGTTTTTTACTTTCCAAAACAACAAACACCAAAACCCTAAAACCTAAATTAAAACCCTAAATCCTGAAAACTTAAAGTCAAAATCACTGCGTATAGCCAGTGTTTTCATTCATCCTCTGGTGATAAGTATATGATATTGTTTGGATGTGTTGTTTGAGTGTGGGCGAACCAGGGGGTTGCGGGGTACCTTTTTAATCCTCCTACAATTTCATAACATTCCATCAAGTTTTGCATAGTAAATTGTCAATAATCAACCATATTCTCATTTGATGTTAAGTGTCTTATTTGTTCTTGTGAATCTACGTTATTTTCATTATTATTCTTTTCGGCATCTACAATTTTTTGGTAGAAGAGTTGATATTTTTAAAATCTATATAATGTAGATGATCTTGTAATTGCTTTATATAAATCCAGGCGTGCTTGGGTTAGATATATTATTTGTTAAGCATAAACGATTTTGATGATAATAAATTAAAAAGTAAAAACATCTATTGTCATACTAAAAATTGTCTTAATTTTTCTGTAGTTGTTAATTTTGTGATATGTTTATAGGTATCAAAGGAGTTTCTAGCATTGGGTAAATATGTATTTTTACTTCGAAAGATCCTATATTTTTTTTGGTTCTTTCAGCTCTATATTCTAGGGATCTAGTTTTAAGCTAATCAACTTATTTTTTATCTTGAATATGTTTTTTTTCAGAATTATTAGTTTGTATTTTTTGATGATAATACTCTACCATTTGTGATGTGAATTTTCATAGCATTTCAGGGTTATTATAGTCTATTACCTTTTTTTCGAAACATAAATTGCCACCATGTTTTTGTTTAAGATTTTTTTGCCGATCTATCTGCAACACGTTCTAATACATTTTGTTGGGAAGGTTTTGATTGATCTGTAGATAAAAAGGTTTTGCTATCAGATGAGCTCATGCAGTTTTACCTATTATTGTTTAATTTTTTCTTCTTTTTGTTCAATAAATTATATACTGTTTAAGATTGCAGAAAGTTCTTTTTCAATTTATTTTACTTTTATTATGATGAATGTAATTGCCTTTATTGCATTTTTATGTTTTTCGTTATTTTTGCCAAAGTTGGTTGATTTGCTAGGAAAGCAAGGACAAAATTTTTGGGCTTTAGAATTTTCTTTTACAGGATAAGCAAGTTTATTTGAGGAATGTCCTTAGCAAACAGGCCGATCATTTTAAATAACTTACAAGAAATTGCAATTTCTGGTGGCCAATATTATTCTAAGTATCTGGGTTCAAAATTCAAGATTCAAGGCTCAGAAAAAAACTTTTTCAATCCAACCTCTTTGGATTCAAGATTCAAGATTCAAGGCTCAGAAAAAGACTTCTTCAATCCCACCTGTTTGGGTTCAAGATTCAAGATTCAAGGCTCAGAAAAAACTTCTTCAATCCCACCTGTTTGGGCTCAAGATTCAAGATTTAAGATTCAAGGCTCAGAAAAATCTTCGTCAATCCCACCTGTTTGAATTCAAGGTTCAAGATTCAAGCTTCAAGGCTCAGAAAAAACTTCTTCAATCCCCCCTGTTTGGATTCAAGATTCAAGGCTCAGAAAAAAGCTTCTTCAATCCAACCTCTTTGGATTCAAGATTCAAGATTCAAGGCTCAGAAAAAACTTCTTCAAGCCAACCTCTTTGGATTCAAGATTCAAGATTCAAGGCTCAGAGAAAAAAACTTCTTCAACCCCACCTGTTTGGATTCAAGATTCAAGGTTCAAGGAAGGCCTTCGGATTCAAGAAGTCTTTTTGGGATCTTGAATCTTGAATCCTACCCCCTTGGATTCAAGATGTCTTTTTGGGATCTTGAATCTTGAATCTTGAATCCTACCCCCTTGGATTCAAGAAGTCTTTTTGGGATCTTGAATCTTGAATCTTGAATCCTACCCCCTTGGATTCAAGAAGTCTTTTTGGGATCTTGAATCTTGAATCTTGAATCCTACCCCCTTGGATTCAAGATGTCTTTTTGGGATCTTGAATCTTGAATCCTACCCCCTTGGATTCAAGAAGTCTTTTGGGGATCTTGAATCTTGGATCCGATGTACTTAGGGAAGGGTGGTATGTGAACAAAATTGCAAAATTTTTTGATCACAAAAAAATGCCCTAAGTCTTAGAGTCCAAAATGTCAAGAAAAACACTGTAAATACGACTAAATTTGCTTGAAATGTAGGTCTTGGGGGGGTTACCATATACTGTAACATATATATATATACATATATAGTATTCCCGCTATATTCCCATTATACTATCATTATACCACCATATCATGGGAAATCATAACATCTGCCAATAAATCTATTTTTTAGCTGGTTACTGTAGTACATTTTACCATTGATAGCAAACGATTCAAGTAGTAAAGTTACTGAACATGTCTCAATGGATTGGCTGAAGGGAAAATTTACAGGAAATCCCCATATTTAATGGGAAAATCTATGGTTTCCTGTAAAAAAAAACCTTAGCCAATCCATTGAATATCACTATACCACCATAGATTCCATGATCTCCAGGTATTTTTTCAAGGCACGGCATCCAAGGCCCAGTTGGAGATGCCCACACAGGCGATCCCCCGCAAATCCTGACCAGAAAAGATCGCTGGATGGACCCATTTGGGGATGGTGCAAATGGCATTGGTTTTACCAAAAAAAGAATGGAAAAATCCCATGAGAATGGATGATTTAGCAATTTAGCCCGTAAATATTAGGAGAAAATAAGGTACTCTCTGTTTTTTAACAATTCGACGCTGAAAATCCACCATTTTGTAGTGGAAACTCGCCTGAACCCCGAAAACTGGCAAGGTCTATGTCGATTTACTGGAGGGTAATGGAGACTATCTGATAATCCATTAATCCATCCAACAATTTATCCCATATCTGACCATGTGTATCAACGGAATTATCACTAGATGATCCGACAAAATCTGATCCCTGATCCATTATCATCAGATTGGAGTTGATGAACTGGATAATATGAAGGAAATGTTCCAACAAAATCAAGATGTTCACAAGTAACGGACATCAAATAGGATTGTCCAATTCATGTAGACTGTCTGATGAACAACCAACATTTTGTCCAGTCCAATATCTGATAATTTATTGCTTAAGGATGCTTAAGGTAGTTGGTTAAGGCTTGTTGACCAATGAGCATCAATGAGCACTGTGTCACTGCGGTGAACTGCACCGATAAAGCGCATAAGGCTAATGTTGAACACCAGAAATCAGATGTTGAGGTTTCAACCCCAAACAGTCGCGTGAGTGCATTTTGCCGTTGCGTCAGGGCTTTCTGGGCTAGTTAAAAGTTTCAAACCGGTTTTGATTGGCAAAATATCTTTTAGAATCCGTCTCAATCCCCATCCCCATTGATTCCCCATTTTGACTGGTCAGCTCCCACTTGTTTCAACTGTGTCGTCAACGTCGTCAAGGGTTCCGCCTCGAGCTCTTTGTGCAACACCTTCAGCGGCAGGTGTGGCGACTCTTCTGCCAGACCCACTTCATCGAGGAGCCTGCAATCGATCGAAATCAATGAGGATTAAATCTTCAATGGCGGTATAGCAACATGGATTGATTGGGTCAATTGGGAATAGAGTAAAGCAATAGGATCCATATTCCCCAATTTTGGCCATTTGAATAGGTGCTCTAAACCATCAAAACATGTGCTTGCGCTTGCTAGGCATCATTTATGGTGAGGTGATGAGGTCGCTAGAACGTACCATGGAACCTTCAAGAAAGCTTGAGGCTGACCTCAACCAACATCGATAGATATCCATATGTAACTAAATATCAATAAACACCAAATACCAATATGTATTATGTATGTATAACTATAATCAATAAAGTTTAGTCAAAGACCAATATACACTGTAATGCATATCAATGAAAACATCAGCCCAGCCCCCGGTATATGTATAGTATAATAATATGATATAATGTATGTATATTATATACATACTGTATATATATATATATACTGTACATATATATATATATATATACACTGTACATATAAATCTCAATGGATAGATCAATTCAAAATCAAGACCCTGCAATCACAAAAGTACCCTCGGTGTTTTTTCCCTCCTCGAAAGCCCAGAAAGCTTTTGGGAGCCGGACACGCAGACGATGGTGCTCTTGTGTCCGAGGTTGGACTGGCGCGCCGAATGGAAGGCGTTCAGGATGGCGTCGGGCGTGGAGAGGGGCGAACACCTGCGTCGACATAGGGGATGAAGCCACAAAGTGAGTTTCAGCGAAAAAAAAAAGTGATTAAGAAGTTAACCATGAAAAAATTTGGGTCTAACCAGCAACGTCAGAAATGTCCCAGTCATTCACCCAGCCATGGCACTGGTAGGCGAAGACGTCCACGGCCGGCATCGACTTGAAGAAATCTCGGCTGGAAACCTGCACGACTCTTGATGGGTTTTCCAATATTTCCAATCTTCAGTAGATCAAGACAAAAAAGATACGGAAAACAAAAAAACATGTTCACATTGTTGATACCAAAATTTCAGAAACCATGACGTTTGAACAACAAATCTCATCCATGATGCCTCGCCGTTGAGGTTGTTCTGCAACACGCCCATGGCCAAACTCTTGGAACAACCTGCAGGACAGCCCCGGTTTGGCTGCTGAAATATGTGGGAAACATGGACAAGTAGAGAAAATAGAGGGAAATATGGGAAAACATGGGGAAAGTATGCGGAAGATATGGGAAATATGAGGAATACTGGGAAAACTACCTGAACACCAAAGTGTTTGATAGGAAAATCATCTATAAATCATCGAGGGCTGGTAAATGACGAGCGTACTGATGTACCCTAAAATACTCGAAGGATACTGCTCCAGTGGTGGATGAAACTCAAACACCCCATTTTGTGGATGTAGTCACCTGCACCTGGGGATTGGGGAGGGGCGGTCACCTGCACCGACCATTTATGAGTGTGTCCAAAATTTTTTGGAGACCCTTATGCATGGGGATTTCCATAAATGGGGAAAAAATTGATGGTTTATAATGGAAAATCCAATCTATAAATGCATGATTTAGGGGTACCCCCCCTTTCAGGAAACCCCCACATATGATATATGGCTATCTTCCTGATCTTGTCAGGCCATCTAAAATATATCCACAGTAGAGCAAAAAAAATGGATAGAAATGGATAGAAAAAAGACATCCTGATTTGCTGTACTCAAAATTTTCTGTTCTATCTATTTAGGGTGTGCTTAATATGTGCTATATGGATAAATAATGATAGATATATATATATATATATCCCCATGTAAAAATAACCTGTGGCGCACCTGGCTTGCCGATGAGCAGAATGGGAATCTGGTTCATCACCTGGGACAGTTCGTCAGTTCGTCAATTCGGCAATCAATTAGTTTCCAGAATGGGGATTTCGAGTTCAGGATCATCAACCAACATGAATTATGGGATATTGATTCAACCAATTCATATGATATGAACTGATTCATATATTCCAGTTATATGTTGGTTGATGATCATATGTTGGGCAATCACATGATATAACATGATATAACTGGAATTCATGGGAGATTGCCCTCTGGTCATGGAATTCGGAGTTTCCATGGAAGCCATAGCCTGTCCAAAGCTGTGGGATAGCAGGTTTCTACACCCATGACTGAGAATGAACCTCTTAACTCTTAACCCATCATTCAAAATGTTTAGCCAGCTATTGTGATGGTCTTCCCGCCTCTGTCTGTCTGTTCGGATTTCTTTATCAAGCTGTCAATGGAACATCCTCCATTTGTAGATAATTATATAATATTATATACATCCATTTTTAAAAAGTGATGATTTCCCATGATTTCCCCATTGAAAAACGGCGTTTTGTAAGAACACCTCCAGCTGAACAACACACCACGGCCACGGCTCGGCAGTCACCAAGTGGCGCTCACGAGCAGCATGAAGAGGTTCTCTCTAAGCGCTTCGTTCAGCGCGATGCCCTCACCCAGATCCATCTGTGACCTTGTGAACAGTGGGGATCAGTTGGAGGCATCAGTTTTTCCCAGTTGAATTTTGCAGGATCACATACAGTAGATTTGAGGATCCACATTCCCCAACGATAAAAGCTGGCGCACCCGGCATCCCAGTCTTTCACCAGGAATCCTCTTATGATTCTGTGGGGGGAACAAAACGAGTTCTGTGATGCTTAAACCCATAGCAACCAAGATGCAAAAGTAACATCCTACCAAGATTGAAAGGTAAATATCTCGCCTTTTCCGATACTTCTTATTTTGGTTACCGTCCAGTAAACTAACATAGCTAGTGAAAACGGCTCAATTATCGATGATTTACGCATTAAGAATTGTGATTTTCCATAGCTATGTGACAGATTGCCAGAGGGTACGTCTATAGTCACTCCCCCATTTATTGTTGGATAATCCCAATTACGATATATTAAGAATTGTATCATCCCATTATTTATGGTTGGTGATATCCCCATCATATCCCGATTTATAGATGCTTTGATTATGTTTGATTTATAGTTGCTCACTCATCTCCCCCAACATAATTCTTTGATCCCAGGTACCCAAAAAGGTAATTCAGGTCACATCTTCACCAGGCTCAAAAACCCAAGCCGTTTAGCATCATCCCAGTGACACAAACTCATAGGAGGTGTCGATGAGCATTTTGTTCAGCTCATTGGCGTCCGCCAGCTTCAACCACTCCATGGCTCCATCGTCCTTGCTCCTCCGATGCGACGCATTGGAAAAAATTGGAGACGGCGCAAGCGCCCAACGGATCGGGCTGGAAACTGACAGAGATCCTGGAAAATCCTGGAAATATGAAGTGAATTATCCTCTAGAACATCCAGATAAAACATGATAAAACAATGTATCAAACATGTGACTCTACCTTTAAAAGGCACAGTTTGCTATAGACAAATATGCGTAGGGCATGTTCTTACTGAATGACTATCCGTTCTGATCATTGGGAAAACGGGATAACTGGGATGATAGGATCAACGCTGCAGAAAATACACATGTCATTGGGGATCATCACATATCACCCCCAAGTAGATTTGAAATTATTCAGAATATATTACTATTGTTATATATATATATACATACATATATACATACATATATAATCATATATACATCATATATATATATTATAAATATATATATATACATATATACTCCCTCTTCTTCTTGGTCGCATCATCCCCAGTGAAATCCCAGATTGTGCGGGTGAAACCAGCACAAATGCGCCTCAGGCGTTCCCAAGTCTCACAAAGCCTGGGGAATGATTGCCATGGTGATAGGGGAATGGAGCTACGAGTGGCTCGGTGGTTTGCTGATCCCATGCTGTAAATACATCTAAGCCATTGAACTGAAATGATCTGAGTGTATGTGGTCAACCTACGTTAAACTAGCTAAACACCACCCAAAAATGAAGACATCCCACCCCCCAATGATAATATAAACTGGCCTATTCTTAAGACCTCAAAACACATAGCTCCATGGAGGGTTGCTTACAAATAGGGGGAAGGGATGACTACTGTAGCTCAATCAGAACAGTTTGGTGAGTCACGGAAGAAACATGAGGAAACCTAATTGGAGACTCCATCAAATTTCAGAACCTAATATGGGACTTCAAACCCGGCGACACTCGCGAAGGTAGCGCACCTCTTGCGGTAGCCCCAGCGTTGGTCGCGGTTCAGCCGAGAATGGTAGCCTGGGAAAGGTCAGCAAATGGAGCCTCCGATTTATAACTTGGAGTGGTTTTGATGGTGCCCAGCATTGCTAACGTTGGCAATTCCTGATGGGCAGAGCACAGCATGGGCAACCACCAACAGGGAAATCAACACTGGGCTCCCCAAGCAGTAGCCCATGGTGAGGACCAAAGCTCTCCTGCAGGAGGCGAGCTAACCGACACGGCGTGTCAGATCAAAAACGCCGATCCACAAATAGCTGGTGATGTTTCTTAGTATTTACCTTTATAGTTAACCATGCATCTTCGGGAGTGGATCATTATTGAGCTTTTCTGAGGCTTTTCTCGTTTAAAAAAAAGACGTGGCTTGAATCATTCCCCAGGTTCTGAATCAACTCCAAAGTTCCAACCCCCACTTCGGCACCAAAGTTCACCCAAAATTCTGGGACATCTCCAGTTGCCCATCGCCTCAAGTGTTCCCTAAGCTTGGCGCACACATCGATCTTCAAGGTGCCGTCCTGGAACCGCTACCAGAGAGGTGGGCTACATCGGCCCAAAGACATGGCGTTTCTTTTCCCTTGGATGGTACTGTATAGTCACAGAAGTCTAGATCATCTCTGCAGTTGGTCACAGAAGTTGGGCTTCAATGAGTTCACGCTAGGTGCCGTCTGGCTTTGGCTCAAAACTTTAGACCCGGAAACCAGAAATGGACATGTCATCTTTAGCACTAAACCCTCCAAAAATCAACTGATGCCCCTGTAACTGCTGCAAACCCCCTCGGTTGATGCTTCTGATGCTGGGATCAACGACAGTGAAATCACCCAGTGCTTGGGAAAGCATCCAACTTTGACGGCAGAAAACATCCCCACATTCCCACCATTTTTGATGGTTCAATCCGCATCCGTGCTGGCTAAACCCTCCATTTCTGCTGCTTAAACATCTTAAACCCAGCTGACACAGCGCGCCTTCTCGTCCTTCACGGCCGCCGAAGCGCTCTCACCGTGAAGTCGGGAATAGGAGGTCAAAAACCTCGATGTCTTTACGACTGCAGGAAACCCCGAAACCCCAGAATCGTTGTTTGACAAAGGGTGCAGATTTTTTTTGTGTTGGTTTTTTCAGTCTGGGGCACTTTTCCTTGCTATTTGCTACATGTTAGAGCAAAAACCTGTACTTTGCTGAATTTTGGAGCTAAAATTTGCCATTTGCACTGTTCATCGATTTTTCCATGGTTTTGCTCGATTTTTCCATGGTGTTCATTGATTTACCGAAAGTGTTCATCGATTTTTCCATAGTGTTCATTGAGTTTTCCATGGTTACAATTGATTTGTCCATGGTTTCAATCGATTTTTCCTTGCATAACATGCACCTGGTGAACATGTAAAATATAGGTTGAAGCACAACCCTGTTGGGTCTAAATGGTGGCATTGGATGCTATCATTGTGTTGGTGGGTTTAGGGTTTATTTAGGGTTGGTTTAGGGTTTATTTCGGGTTGGTTCAGGGTTTATTTAGGGTTTATTTAGGGTTATTTAGGGTTGGCTTAGATTTATTTAGGGTTGGTTTAGGGTTTATTTCGGGTTATTTAGGGTTGGTTTAGGGTTTATTTAGGGTTGGTTCAGGGTTTATTTAGAGTTATTTAGGGTTGGCTTAGATTTATTTAGGGTTGGTTTAGGGTTTATTTAGGGTTGGTTTAGGGTTACTTAGTTTAGGGTTGGTTTAGGGTTTATTTAGGGTTGGTTATGTCCGGTTGGTTTAGGGTTTCTCTAGGTTGGTTCAAGGTTTATTTAAGGTTTATGTAGGGTTGGTTTAGGGTTTATTTAGGCTTATTTAGGGTTGGTTTAGGGTCTATTTAAAGTCTGTTGAGGGTTGGATTAAGGTACAGTCCATGTAGGGATACAAGGTGTGTGTGTGTGTATATATAAAGATAGATATATCGATAGGTAGATAGATAGACAGACAGATAGATATATAGATTAGATAGATACTTTAGATAGATTAGATAGACAGGGGCCATGGAGCAGTAGAGCACGGGAGCGGAGTGCGGAGCTTCGAAACAGGTAAGCTGCACAAGGGCGTCCCAGCATCGGAGCATCGGAGCGCAGAATGTCAGCACCAGAGCTGCGGAGGGAGCGGAGCATTGGAGCATCGGAGCAGGAACATTTACCAGGACACGCTCTGCACTCACTCTGAGATACTTTACAGTAGATATATATTAGATAGATACTTTAGATAGATGCTTTTGATAGATATTTTAGATAGATACTTTAGATAGATACTTTTGATAGATACTTTTGATAGATACTTTAGATAGATACTTTAGATAGATACTTTAGATAAGATAAGATAAGATAGGACAAAATCAGATAAGATTAGATTAGATAAGATTAGATTAGGTTAGATTAGATTAGGTTAGATTAGATATAGATAGATAGATAGGCAAAGCATGGTAAAGCCATAAAAGCCACAAAGCCAGGCCGGAAAACAAAAAAAAAAAAGAAACAAAAAAAATAGCCCTCCTTTGACAATTTCATGGATTTTGTATTGAAAAGCACGGAAACCATGTTGAATTGTCCCATTCAAAAACAAAAACGACGTGTCCGAAGATCAAAAGACACGGAGAGGGATCCTGGTAGATTCTCTCTTTCAACCAATTCTAGAAATAAACATGAACAATTTCGTAGCTGTTGGGATGGATGCTGGGAGAGCCGACCATTTTACACCCCACAAAAGGGATTTCGCAGGCACCATTTGGGAAATCCACCATTTGTTTAACTGTTTAACCATGTGGGCCTTGGTTCCCAAATGGCTCTGAAGTTTTTGCCCATGTTTGACCGCTCAAAAAAAAAAAGGTGCTCAAAACCGCCCAACTCTGGCAGCGGCCGCCCAGGAACCATTTGAAGACGCGGGCTGCACGGCCGATGTCGCGCATTGACACCACACTGCGTTCGCCTTCATTCACCTGTCCGGCGAAAAACAATGGTCCCAACTAACGTCCCAACTGGCGTCCCAACTGGCCAAGTCCTGCACTCCCCGTGGCCAACCTTAAATACCTCAACAAAATACATGTCATCATAGCTCCGTCCTAGTGGGAAATGAGAGATGGCCCAAAATCCATGCTTGACCTGGTGATTGCAACCCCTTGAAATTTTGAAAGGTAACTTTACTACAAAGCATAGTCGCCATAGTCCTCCCTTTTCTAGGCTTTTGAGACGCATTGATCAACCACCGCTTAGACCGCCAGAATCAACTCACCAGCTAAAAACCACCGCCTCGCGCACATAGTTTTGCGATTGGCACAGCAACTCGCAGAAAGAGCTGATAAAGACCTGCATGGCTCAGCTCGGCAGAGGGTATGGCAACAGCAACACCAAGGGTCCCAAGGGGATAGATCTTGGATGATTTTCGTAACATCTCACTAAAGCAGTGGTAAATTGGACCTGTTCTACTCTTGGGTTACAATACATGGTCATGGGAATTCCCTACGCCCTGTGTTCGTTGCAGGGAAAAAACGTGCATACATGTGTCTGTCATAGGGGAATTCTAGGTATATAATCCTAGTTTCATGTAAAATCAACCATAAATGGATATCAAGATAATAAATGGATCTTATAAATTACAAATCAACCATTGGTAATCCTACTTTTAATGGGAATATCAAGATGAAAATATGCAGACTGGTGGTTTTTCCCATTGCCAAGTTCCATCGGTGGAGATCTATGGGATCTCCTATGGGGACAGCAGGCAGAAATGAGGACGTTCAGCAGGCAGTTTAACCGGTTACCCTCCAGTAAATTAACATAGACCCTGCCATGACTTGGGGGTTGGAAGACTAGTGAAACCACTATAAATTGGTCATTTTGGGTCTATGTTAATTTACCAGGGAGTAACTCTTTAACCTACAAGTCAGGGAATATGCCCTAACAACTCTGAACACAGAAGTGCACAAGCCTCACTCCTAATATTTAATTTCTTTGCCATGGTCTCGACCGCCTCATACTCATCCGCAATGGGGGGCTGCACCTGCCAAAGCAACGGACAGATCTGAAAGCTGGCTATCTAACAGCACGTACCTACCAGGTACCTACCAACTTCTGAGCACTGAATGCGACATAATGCAAGTATGTATATACATCTATATATATATATACATGTATATATATAATGTATACATGTGTATATATATATAATACGTATATATATATATGTGTGTGTGTGATATGTGTATATATATATGTAAATATATATATATACGTATATGTGTATATGTATATATATACCTATATATACATATGTATATATGTATATATATATGTATATATATGTGTATATATATATGTATATATATATATACATATATATACATATATATATATACATATATATATACATATATATATACATATATATGTGTATATATGTGTATATATATATATATATATATGTATACTGTATATATATATGTATATATGTATATATGTATATGTATATATATATGTATATATATATGTAATTATATATATGTGAAAAGTAATTAGTGTAATGCATATCGTGTGCTGTGATTCTGGTGTACTGACACCCAGAGATCGGCTTGTCGGCTTGTCACTTTTTCGTACTTTATCATCAGAGTAATCAATGACCTGACTCGACTCCATCCCATTTACCCACGATATCATCTCCAAGCTGAGCAACAAATCGCAATATTTCGGGCAGACCCATCTGTTTCTGTTTGCGGCAGGTTAAAAATGGTTAAAACATATCTAGAAGTTTCCCATCCATAGTTACGTTATCACTCTGCTTACTATCCAGTTTCTGCGTGGTTTTGGTGATAAAATCACGGTTTTCCTGGCCAAATGGTTTTATTTGCCGTTTGAGTCTCCATCTGTGCTGCTTAAATCACCAAAAGCAAGACAGATTCTAAAGAATGTATCAAGTCGTTAGAGCAATAATAAACCACTGATATTTTGATGCTTCACGCATTGGTAAATTTTGGGATGCTTTACTCTTGCTTTACTATTGCTATTCCAATTCCAATCCTGGAGTTTTCGGAGATCCCACCCCACGACCCCCCACGACCCCCACGAACCCCACGACCCCCACGACCAACACCGTGGCGCCGCGCCTGCCCAGCCTGCGCTGCCTGATTTTGCCGTTCCTCAGCACCTTCCGCGTCCTTGTTGGGGAGTTCCTGGCAGCGGAACAGAATTTTGAAAAACGAAGTCAGAAACAAACATCTCAAGCAAGTGCCATACTTGGCCTAAATAATTGTCCAAAAATGGTCAAGAACAAATCTACCAAGGCTGAAACCTATCAATCGGATGCAAGGATTCAAATAATTTCATCATCCTAGATAGGCATGGACACTTGAAAAATAACAAGTAACATATCTGGCTGGTGGTTGAGCCAACAACCCCTTTAAAAATCAAAGTCAGTTGGGATCAGCATCCCATTTCGATGCTTGAAAGTAATCAACCAAGAATCGGGGACCTCCAATGGAAAAGACCGGATTTTGACCAAAAATAATGCTGGCAGATTTGGTCAAAAAAAATGCTTCGCACTTTGATGTTTGCCAAGAAGTATGGTAGTTCACCCGTGTTCATGGCAGATTCAGCCATAATGGGGATATAACTACCAAACGTTTTGAGGAGATAAATGGGTTTGTCTGGACATTGGGACGCTACCCCATGAGATATGGCCACCAGAAAATGGAACAAATGATGGCAAACAGATCCAAATGGGGATGCCAATGGAATGGCTGTATTGACCATCTAGTTTGGGGCTTGTGATCATTTTGAGCCATTATTTATGTGCAGTTTGAAGCTCAGCCGCCCGCCTGACACTTGGAAACCTGATGCAAACTCACATGTCTCTTTGCACCTGTGAGTACGTTCATTGTTTTGTGAAGCTGAACATGTTTCAAGGGAAGTCTAATTCTGAGATATACACACCTACAGGAAAGGGTAGTTCTTGAGGGTGTCAATTTTGGAGAATCCCCCCCACCGCATCGAGCAAATGTGGGAAAGAAAATAATATTTCAAGCCTTGTCTTGGGGTCTAAATTAAGTTCCCGGAAGGCAAATCATTGGATGAAACAAGTAATTCCCCATTGGCAAGTTTATCAGAGGAAGCGTGTCCCTCCGAGTGTCCCCAATCTCTTTGGTCACAGCTCACTTTTTGAAGTGAATAATTTCATTGTTCCATGGTATTCCCCTATTTGTTTGGGGGGAGAAACATCCCAAACATCCCACCGTCCTTCTTGAGAATGGCTTTGATGTAGATCTCCTGTTTTGAGGTGAACTCCGTTCCACCGGATCCATACAGACCATATCCCAAATCCCAAGTGCTGGCTATGTCATGTTATATCCTCATGGCAATATGCTTGGTATATATATATATATAGATTGAATCCCAAGTGTTCTTGGTTATCTCATGTTATCTCATCTGTTTGGTAGGCTGAAGTGGGAAAATCCTCCTGACTCGTGCTGGTCATTTCCTGCTGCTGATTCCCCCCTTGCTATTAACCACCTCGGAAGCTTCGGAGAGGGAACCGAAGTCAGAGACCACGTCGATCAAACTCTCGGGCAGCGGATGCACGCGATAAACCAACTCCTGCGGGAAGGATTGCTGGAAAATACTTGGAAAATATTTGAGTTTGTCTGAAAATGCTGTTTGCCCCAAAATTGCGCAAAGGCAATAGGCGGCAACATGGTCTTTCTCCAGTGGATTTCGTACCGAATTTTCAGACAAACCCTCTGGTTGATCATGGTTGATTATCAAACATTTGGGAACACTTCGTGTTGAACAAAGCTTCTGGAAAGACCGCTGTCCAATGCCCCAGGCTTCCCACCATGCCAAATGCCAAATGCGGATATCTGATGACCTGTGAACCATATTTACCATTTACGGCCTTTGTTTGCGAATCTGCGAATCTTATTGTTATCTGCAAGAGCTATCGTTAACCATTGTGATTGTGATCCTATTGACCAATGCCGGTCCCAAGAAATGAGATAAGAACAGTGCGCTGGCTGACGCGCCTTCATGGGGTCGGAGATGCCACTGGCAGCATCACCTGCTGCCGCGCTGTAGACCAACGCCACGTCCTCCAATTCCTGGACGAACAGCGAGGCGTCAAAGGCCGGTGAAATTTTGTGCCAAGCCTCAGAAACATATCTGCTTGGTGAAACCAACCTATCCCAAGACTATGATCATCCAGGATTTAAAAAAAAATGAAGGGGAAAATATGTCCAAGGGATGCCTGTAGGTTCCTCCGCAAAATGTTTGACCAACCATTCACCTACCATTCACCTACCATTCACCATTCAAGGTTTGAATTCCCCCAAGGATACTTCTTGACCATGCCGGTTGTGTCCTTGTTGCGCCGTTTCCTGTAGGGATTGCAGCAGGAGATGATGCGAACCTGGGCAAAACACAGACCCCAAGCCATGAATAGTAGATCCAATGCTAAACCTCTAAACCAGGATTTCGTTTGGGGATATAGAAATGTATGTGACTGTATGTGTATGTATATACAGTATATAGTATATATATATAATGTATATATATATATATACATATTATGTTGGGGGGCCCGATTGCAAATCGACCGCTGCCACACCCAATAAAGTTTTTCCGTCTCACCCACCGTGGAAAATCCCCTGAGGTCTGGGCATTTTCCGGGATCACTTTGTTGCCGTACATGCCTGAGACCAGCGGAGAAAGTCGAGTCACAGCCCGGTGAAGGAACTTTCCCCTGAGGTCTCCTGGCATATCATGTGTGCATCTATACATACATAATATATATATATAATATGTATGTATGTATGTATGTATGTATGTATGTATGTATGTATGTATGTATGTATGTATGTATGTATGTGTCTGTCTGTCTGTCTGTCTGTCTGTATGTATGTATGTATGTGTCTGTCTGTCTGTCTGTCTGTCTGTATGTACGTACGTACGTACGTACGTATGTATGTATGTTATCGTATCGTATCGTATCGTATGGTATGGTATGGTATGGCATGGAATGGAATGTTATGTTGTGTTGTGTTATGTTATGTATGTATGTATGTATACATAAATATATATATATATATACACAGGTGAATACATATACACATGTATGATCCACTCTTTTACAAATAGTTATAATATGTTATAATATGTACAGTATTTTTCGCAGTCATATATGTGCCCATCCTTTGTGTTCCGCCAAGCATCGATCGATGATGATTGTCTTGAAGAGTGCCATGCAGTTCGCTGCATTGATCTCATCAAAAAAGACCAAGACCTCGGCAAGTGATCCATGTTCCATGAAGTTAAAACGTGGTCGAATTCAGTGGATCTATGAAAAACCTATTCAATCCATGGTCCCATCTAGCGGAGTTTGTGTTCATCATCATTTTTATTTCTATGGTTTTCAATATGTTGGCATTGTTGTGATCATTGGTTGGTTAGTGTTGAATTCTTGAATCACTCGTATCATTAGATCTAATACAACTGCTATTTTCAAAAAATATTAGTATTATCATCATGTTCATTTATGTAATTTAACAGGTCAGCCAACAATAGGGTAAAATACCTATAGTGGGACCTAAATGCCGCTCAGCTCTTGGCACTGTTTTGAACCAACGCTATCGGGCAGATCGATGATATATACAATACATGGTTTTACTGCAGGAGTTTTTACACCCCCCTCGGGCGAGCAGGGACGACTGCGGAGAACGAATAACCCAGAAAAGCATACCCTCGCGGGTAGCCGAATTTCTTTAGTTGGTTTTAGACATTTTGTGCAGTCTTTCAAAGGTCCCTCTAAAAAGCTCAAGCCCGTAAAACCCAGCGCAGCGTTGCAAGGAAGGCACATTACCATGCCACATCTTGCGCTATGCTACAAAAGAAAATCATCGTCTCCCTAACGGTTCCAAAAGATCCAACGGCCGCCGGCCTCGTCACGGTAATACCAAGCCCCACGCCAGAAACTCCATTCTCGGCGTGCACCATAGTGATCACGATTCCAACTCCAAGAGGCATCCGGGCGACCGGAGCTTGCAGCCTTCGAAGTGACTCCTGCGGTTGCTGCTTTTGCAGTGGGCGGTGTCTCAGGCTCCAAGAATGGTCGTGCTCCTGCTTTGGATGTTGGTGGTTCGGGTACCAGAAATGGTGCGGCTGGGGCATCAGCGTGCGAGGCATCTGCGCGAGCAGAGCTTGAGGCGGCTGTGACATCTGTTGCGGTTGCGGATGCATCAGCTTCGGCTTTGCGCTTTCGCTCAATGGTGGGCGCGACCGTGGGGTCGGCCTTATGACCTCCAGGACCTCCAGCCTTTGCAGCGGCGCTCTGCTTCTCTTTGCGTTCAAGATTGCTCCGAACCAAGGGAAGGTTTTCCTCATACACCTTTTCGAGGAAATCACGAGTGCCATCAAGAGGGACTTGGACGGTACCCTTCCAGGTCAACAGGCCACGGAATGCGCCACGACGGCCGATGTAGCTGACATATTCATCCTCTGTAAAAATGTGGCGGCCAAACATGAAACCCCAGACCTTCTTCCATGTTTTGCGGAACTCAACTGGGAAGCCATCAACGCCACGAGGCTGAGACATGAAAATCAACTTAGATAAGCAGTTCTCATTTTGGGCATTGGCGGCGACGCCAGCCGAGATCTGAGCTTTGGTCCTTGGGGGATCGGGGAGGTTGCCATATGCGAACATATCGTCAAATATGCAGTCCTGCAGGTCCTTCCCCTCACCGTGGATGCGGTCGCAAAAAGTGACGTCGCTGGAGTATCTATCTTCCACGTCCTCGTAGCCCAGCGCTTTTGCACGTCGATGCCTGTCGCGGCAGTCTTTGAGGACTGCTGATTCCACGGATGTGATTCCCCTGGGGCCCAGTTCTCGGCGTAGCAGGTTGGCTTGCTCTTCCGTCAAGGCTGTCAGCAAGCTTCCGCTCATCTTCCCAAACATTCCGAACCCGGCGAGACTTTGCATTCGCCGTTCAAGGATGCGGGTCCTCCTGTTGGGTTTGTTGGCCTCTTTTGTATCGCCACTTTCGTCCACTGGGAGTGGCTCAAAACCACATGTGGTGCATGTCACTTGGCCACTGACGTACTCAACCTGGCAGAGGGGACAGGAGCCCATGAAAGGTTCGCAGTACTTGGGTGCAATGTAAACACGGCGCGTCCTTGCGGGCGGCTGGTCAACTTGCATTGAGGCAGTGGCTTCATCATCATCAGTGGACTTGGCATCGGGTCGCCCCGTGCTGGTGTCATCCATTGGGTCGTCATTTGCATCATCTCGGGCAGTCAAGGTGACCGCTTTGGCTTTCGGTGCTGAGGCAGATGCCGCGCCAGTCCATGTGCTGGGCTCGAGATTGCTCTCGGCGCGGGACCAAAGCACCTGTCCTTCTTCTGAGATGCTGACCAGAAACTGCGGTGGGATGCGTTCTGAGCACAAAATCCCATCCATTTCTGTGCGACTAAAGATGACACCAGCTTCAACTGCTTGCCGCATTGCGATTTTGACTTCGATTGGACATTTTGCTCTTAATCCAGATCGATACCCCTGCGTGCCAATACAGTGTTCTGCCATGTAGATATGGGCACGGCCACTGTTGACTGTTGCACCGCCGCCTGGGATCAGGCCGTTCTGTGCGATGCTCTTCCAGCTGCTTTTCATCGTGCGATGGAAGACAACCTCAGGAACCTCAGTCATGGCACACAGGGGCACGCCAGTGAAGGCGGCTTTTCGCTCGGGGGATACATGGTCTGAGCAATACACCATGGTTGAATTGGCATAAAGACCCCCTGCGGTTTTCAAGGCAGCTTCGGAGTGACCCTGAATTGCACGGATTTTCACAGGATAATACGGCATGCCTAGGCCATTGTCGACAGGGAAATGGGAGATCTTTGCACACAAGAATTGGAACCTACTCTTGCCATGCTTGTCGATCTTCATTGCGGTGCCAAACAGGTTTGCGACAGTGATGAAAACATCTGGGGGCACTTCCTTGCGGAAGGCTTTGGCGAAATCCTCCAAGTCAATCCAAAGGTCTTTGTCCATTGGCACCTTGGCACAGGATCCATGCCCCCTGCAAACTTTGTTGACACGAGTCGCAAAATCAGAAAACTTCTTGTCGACGCGAGTCTGGCTGGCAATGGTCTCAACGTCGGATGCCGATATCAGCTCCAGCTCATAAGCCGTACCTTCAAAGAGGATGCCGGGCACATCGTCCCCGTCTGCATTGGTCACCATTGTATATTGGTATTCAGGCAAATGCTCTTCCATCCAATATGCTTTCACGTGGCCAGATGCTTGTCCCTCGAAGCGCGCAGTTGCCTGCGGCTGGTACTGGCTGGATGTGGCTCCCTTGTCATCTGCGGGCTCATCCATTGATGCTGGTGCTGCTTTCGGCCGCGACTTCAACATGACCTCAGCTGTCTGGACCAGGATTGTTGCTCTGCTGGATGCAGCGGGCTCGCCGTCGCCGGCGGCCTTTGGAGGGTCATCTTTGGGAGGCTCAGCAAACGTGCCCGAAGGCATCGTCTTGATGTCGATGTAGTCCTCAGTGTCAGGTTGTTGAGCTTCGACGTCCTCCTTGGTGAATGACCTGCCCGTCGGCACGATGTGTCTTCGGGACTCTCCAAAAAGCAACTTGGTGATGTTTGCACATGTCTCCTGATAGGATCTTGGCAGCTCGTCCAGGACGGCGCTCATGTTCCTCCGCAAATCATCCCATGTCTCCTGGGCACACTCAGAAAGCTCCAAACCAATTTGGCCGACCCGCCATCCGGAATCAAGTGCGAAAAGGGTAGCTGTCCAATAGGCAGCAAGGCGCGTGCGATTTTCTTCAGAGTTGGCGAAATGCCACTGGTCTCTGAATTCCATTGCATCGGCGTACCCCTTTGCTTTTAGCCACGGATACCGCGGATTGGCACGCCCTTGCAGGCTGCTGGTTAGAGCTTTGAATCGGGGCTCCAAATGGTCGAAAAATTGATCGAAGATTGGATGAATGCCGTAATCTGCGCTCCAGGGCGCGGTCGTGAGACCGGCCGTCTGCAAGTCCAACTCCCGGGCCTTGTTGATGAACCATGTCAAGTGGCGCTCACAATCATCCAGGATCGTGGGCCAGTGCCCGTTGGGACCATCGTACGGCCAATTTGGATTTTGGGCAATTCCATCCTCCCCTACCAATTCATTTCCGAACCAGGACAAGTGCAGGTTGATGCGTGCATGAGGATAGCGCTCGCGGGCGTCCGCGGCCAATTCGATCCCTCTCTTTACCAACTTCTGCAAAGTTTTGCCCCAAAGCATCTCGTGGATGAACTCAGTCACGTACTTGGGTTTGCGCTGTCGGTAGTGCTCGGAAAGATCAAACTTCTTAAGTGTCTTCCTACGCCCTGTGATCAATGCACATGACGAGTCAGAGACTAAGATCCAGATTACGTCATTGACGGGCATCTCTGGCAGCATGATCTTTTCGATGTGGGACTCCTTTGGCAAAAAGCAGAAACTAAGGTATTCTGCAAGCGGATCCTCTCGACCATAGAACCTCAGGGCCGAAGCCGGCGTCCATTCGGTCATCAAACCATCCACAAGGTCCTGAGCAGCCTGATTCTCACCTTCATTGCGCATGGCCAATGCATACAAAATGCGATTGTGAAGGAGCAACCATGCTTCTTTGTTAGCCTCACGTGTGGCTTCGAGCGCAGCCTCGCGGCTGGCCGGGTGTGCTGTGGCATATCGCGAGTCAGCCATTTTAGCAGGACAGGCACGAATGACAGCGGGTGAAATCCTTTTGGATGTTTGGCCCACCACAGCTACCCGGAAACACTCATGGAGCATGTCAGTCAACTTGAAGGTATAGTTCTCAGCAAGTTTAAGAGCTTTGCCCCTACTTTGATCATGCTCATGTTTGCCATCACATTTGAATGAGTCTAACACTTCGAGTTCTTTGAAGTTTCCTGCAATAGTCCAACTTTTCTTCATTGGTTGACCGTTGTTTCCAAGAACACCCAACATACAACCATCAAAGTGATGAGTAGTCATGGATCGTTCTATGAGGAATTTTCTGACCATCGGCCATCTCCAATATTTGCAATTCTTGGACAGTTCAAATGCTATCAAGGTTCGTTCATCACAAACATCATCCACAAGTTTGACAAAAGATTTGAACAGCTTGGTAAACTGTTTTTGTTGCTCTTTGATTCTTTCCTGACCCTCAACAGTAAGGCCATTCACGTTCCCCCATGGGCTACCTCCTACACAAGGCAACGATGCATAGAGTATCAAAGTGCCGT